TGCGACGGAGGGTGCGTTTCGATCCGCCGGAATCGGTAGCGACAGGCTAACAAGTCAGACGCCGATTTGTTTCCAATTTTTTATAGTTACTTTTTATGTCAAAATATAAATAAATCTGTCATCATTTTTAGCTCAAATTAATTTTTGCAATTTTTTCGAAATTTCTCAAGTTTTTTGTTCATTTCTTGTTCATTTTTTACCAGATTTTGACGTTAAAATGCGCTTGTTTGCTGGATAGTGAGCCGAGGGGATTACCCAACGTCGAATGTAGCGTAAAACTGAACACTTTTTCAACAATGACGTCAGCCACATTAGATCCGCCATTTTGAATTTTACAAAATGCTTCTGATTCATAATCGGCGACATGTGTGTGTGTGCAAGTTTCAACAAATCAGATATATATATTTTTAAGAAATATTGTTTTAAATATGTATAAAATAGTATACGTACTTGTGCAAAACTTGAAAAATTTCGAAAAAATTGAAAAAATTAATTTAAGCTAAAAATGATAACAGATTTCTTCATATTTTGACATAAAAAATAACTATAAAAAATTGAAAACAAATCGGCGTGCGACGTCCCCCGAGGTTTACTCGTAAGTAATAAACTCGCGATGGAATTCGAGACGGAGAGAACCCGATGAAGAGTCCTTTATCGAAGAGCTCTACGTCTTTATCATGTTTTTCTTCTTATGTGTTCTGATCAGCTGGTCGGACGAGTCTCGATACAGCTTAATGAATCTCCATCTCGATTTACGTAAATATGTTAAGAAATGCACAGCAGAAATGCACGCGTCCATTATTCGTGACACTGCAAGAAGCATAATCAATCTGACGCAAACATTCGCGCATTTTCGTTTCTCGAGAAGAGAATCGCCGTCTAGCAACAGGTGTATGCGTGACGATGGTATCGCATTTATCACAATAATCATCAGTCTAGAGCGAGATCGGATGCATCGTCGAGCAAGAACAATTATATCTTGACACTTGAGAGAAATGAATCTTCTCGGTGAAAAGAGCACGACGCATTCGAAATCATTTCTGAATTCGTGAGAAATAGTAAGACAGACAAGTGCAATCGAGACTGTGTTCGATACGTTCGGACGGACTTTAGGACAGAAGCGAGATCCATTCAATTTCCGCGACCGCTTGTGGAAGTTTAATTCAACTACACCAAGCAGAAGATGCAGATAAGATAATGAACAGATCGACAGACGAGTCGGCCGACCAACCCGACCTCGCTGATCTGATCGATGGATAAAACACGAATTTCATTCCGAAAACGGAACCGTCAATCATGAGAAGAAAAAGAAGAAAATTTTCGGAGCAGGCCTAAAAAAAATGCGCACGACAATCCCGTCGGCGTTGCCAATACACAGATGACGAAAACTGGAACCTAATAAAATCTTCTTCCGACTTGATTGCCATAAATAAACGTTTTTACTCATAGACACAGATATAGCCGTGCCGTATGCATACATTAACATTCCCACTTGTCTTCAAGGTTGGGCAGGTAAAAAAGTGAGACGTCGCGTTAAGACGAGCGGAAAGATAGAGATGCCGTGAGAGATGGCTTGTATTTTTCAATGTTATTATTAGTTGCGGGAGCGAATGACAACACGAAAATCATTCAGCGACGAGTGATATACGATCGAAACTTAACGACCTCTCGCTAAAATCATTTCTTCCTAAACGTCAACGCCACTAACGACGATCAATCCCCTCGTGCGACGATAGCGAGAAGCGCTACGCAAAAAAATTAAGTCCTTCACGACAGGCGAGTTTTTATTTTTTTCTTTAATCTAGCCTTTCGACTCAAATGTAGCGATAAATGTATCGCGACTGGTTTTTCTAGTAGTGTATTATCTGAATTTGCCCGATAATTTACGTTTCCCAGCGGAAAACCGAGGGCATCGACATTACGTAACGTTTCGAGCGCGTAATAAAAATAGCCGAGCGGCGAACGATCGGTATGCATTCTACAGTTGAGCGTGTGTGGCGATATGTGTGATAGGCGATTTAATCAGCATAATTCACACTGAATAGGAAGTTTATCCAAATCACGGATGCGCTAGCAGAGAGGCGCTAGCGGGATTGCGAGCGAACGCGACAATGTGCCGCGATATTTTCGTCGTCGTCGTCTGATTGCACGTAATTACAACTGTCGACAACGAAAAATGACTCGCATTGCCGAGGAGGTCATCGCACACCCCGCCTCGATGCAATGCCTCAGGAGCAAAGTCTCTCCAAGTACAATACCTATTGTACATAGAGATGTAATTACAACACTCTCCGCCTCGAGTCTCTCGTTCTGTTGCTATTGAGATTAATTGCTCAATTTAGACGAGACATCTTTACGCGAAATCCGGCGTGCGTGTCCGCCGCACGCCGTGTGATCCTGCTGATCGGCGAATTTCTTTCGCGTTATTCTACCGGCGAAAAAGCAGCATCCTCGCTGTTCGGCTGATCGCTTTTGCAACGCAAACGCGTGAGTCGGAAATCGGCGGATCGATCGGCGGTTAATTAACTTCAAGATGCGCGTCGTTTGCGTTTTCGAAATCCGACGATTGAAAAATCCCCTCACTGAAGGAGGGACGACAACCGCCCGAAAAGCACAAGCGGCTTCTCAAAGACGGAATTAACGGTCATTTTTTTTTCTCTTCCTGCCGCTTTCCACTCCAGCGATGGCTGTCCTACTTTATTTTTATGAGCGACACTATTCTCAATTACCGGTCAACCGGATCCCCTTCCCTCCCTTGAGAGATTTGTAAAGTAACGAAAGAAACGGAGACAGCGTGATGGGATGCATCGGTTATAAGCAGTGGAAGAATAATACCGGCTGACGACGATTTGAAGATTTTCCGTTGCGATTGTAGTGTGCCTTGCAACGAGTTTTTACTTAGAATCGAATACGAAGGATGAATGCGGGCAGGTATTATCGAGACCATGGCTCTGCTTGCTGCGCCACGAGGAGTCAAAGAATCAATCGACGCTCATCTCAGAGCGCGATCGAAAGAAGAAAGAAAAAGAAGGTATCTTCGATTTTAGGAGATGACGAAAAGATTCGAATTCCAACATTATCATCAGAGGTCAGTGAATCGCTCGGCGAACATGATGGAGGACAAGTTTTTCCCGAGGATATATCGCTTCTCGATCTCTCGCATTTACCAACAGCCATGTTTCAATTACATTTTCTAATCGTCACGCCGTTATTCATTTTGCGTCGTGATTGCTACGTACTTCAGTTTTCGTCCCTCGCTGAGTCCTCTCTGAGTCGAGAAACACGCCAACTGCAGCGAACGGTTCTCTAATCTCGTTGCCTCTTTGTTATCTCAGCGATTTAAAATCCGACGCGTTACGCGTTTAGATTTTTTATGTAAAAAAATTCTTTCACAACGCAGACACTCTATCTAACGCGGCAATCCGGCTTCCAATCCGCGGGTTGTAATTCTACGCAATTATATATTAGTATTCACGTATTCATAGTAGGCTGTGCGGGTTACTTTGACGAAATTTCGTCACGTTTCAATTCCACTTGGACGCGCGACCTCGTCATCGTCGTTCGTGTGACAAAGGAAAGCGCGGCTAACGAAATGAAAATCGGATAATGGCGCGGTCGGCTCGATAAGAAAATGATTTATGCCGTCTCGCCGGGATTTACAATATCGTCCTTATCTCTCGCCGTTTTAACTCTCTTCGTTGCACCGCCAGAGTGCCGCTCACGAGGCAACTCCGCTCGTCGAAGGAATCGCGCGAAGGAATAACCGCGACGAGAGATTCAAGTCGCACAAAGAAGCGAGAAGGTTGAGTTTTCACTCGTGAAACCGCAGCGACGAGAATTCGAGAGCTGCGTAATGAGAGCAAGCTAAATGGCATACTAATTATCCCGCGGCACGGTTTTCGACATTACGTAAAACCCGCTGAGGGCTCAATCGTCCTTTCTGGCTGGCAATCTTGTCAGACGGAGGAGGTAGAGAGGGAGGGAGGGAGGGAGGGAGAGAATCACGTGATCTCATCATTTCCGGATCATAATAGATACGCGTGAATGCATCAAACAAAGTGCCGAGCAATTCTCGCATCGATCGACTTACGTAAACATCAGCGCCGGTGTAACCGGTGGGATTATATCATACTTTGTTTGTGTTTTGCAAATGCGGAATGTAGACTCTCGAGTGACACCACGTGCAATTAGCCCGGAACAATATAAGCGGCAATGTCGCGCAAATCGTCGTGTCATTGTTAGAGTAAAGCAAACGCACATTCTTCATCTTCTTCTTCGTCGTCGTGCGTGCTCTTTCTATTTCTTATTACGAGATAAACTCGGATATAAAAAATTCTCGGCACATCGCGCCGAGAAGAGTGCGACTTTCCTTCTGACGGGCTCGAGCTTCCTCTGGAGAAAATCAGGTTACCGCTCACACAACGCCCGGATGCCCGACTGATTAATTAATTGTTAAATATCGGGTGATCCGGTGCGTCTGAAGAAGGCGCGATTGAAGCGCATTCTGAAACAACAGATTCTACTTTGTCCCGCATTCAGCAAGTAGCACGTTTCGATATGTGTTATTCACGAAGAGTCGAGCAGACATTGTCGAGCAAACGATTGACCACTCAACGCGCGGTCTACATTACGAAATGATACCGCGAACGAGCCGTGCGAACATTTCATGATGAATTGGAGGACGCTTGATCGATGAACCTGTGCGATCTCACGGAACTCGCAGGATTATAACAACCCGAGCAAGTTGACGAACTCGCGCTGCCCTTCAACTACTCGTCGCTAACTAATTGTAACCTTTTCAATATGCGCAAAAGACCGCGAAGCGTTTCCAGGTTGATGAATTTTCGTGAATGAACAAGAGGGAAGACTGTCCCTCCTCTCGTCTCGGGCAAGATGACGAAGTCCTGGGGATGAGGTACAGTCGGCAACCTGTGCGGTTACTACGACTACGAGCCCTTCTGCGGCCCTTAGCCGTCTCGAAGCGATTGTTCGTCACGTACCTTTCGGACGAGAGTCCGTGTCCTCCTGCTTCTTCATCTCCGGCTTCTTCTGATCGAGGGACATGCCGTTCTCCACCATGTCGACGGATGTCCAGGGATGGCCAGACGCGCAGAGTCGCAGAGTCGATCGGCTGTGGAGGCTGCTTGACGAGACGGGAAATCGACGTCGCTGTTTGTCGTACAGCACAGCGCAACGGTCACTCTGACACTGTTAGAATAACGACCGAACTCACGACACTTAGCTGCGAACACCTCGCGCACGTCGGCCAATTAGATCCCTCCGTGAGAGCCCCACCGGTGGTGAACGCCGCTTCTCCCACACGCCTCGCTTTTTCCGAATCCTACCTGTGTGTGCGAAGTTCGCTCCTCTCGAATTGAAAACTCGTACTTCTCCCGGGAGGAAGATGGAAATTCAGCCGGATTTCCGCCGAGCGGCCAGAACACAGACACGGGACGCGCGTCTTTTTTTTTTTCTTTTTTTTTGCTTCAGATGTGTTTTATAACGTTGATAGTGCGCTGACAAATCGCAGCGCGATACGCGGCGCTTCCGAAAGCGATAAAGCTCGGATTGACGAGGCGAGGCGCAGATTTCAACTACGGTTATTTCCTTCATCTGTGGATCTCGTGTTTGAATGTTATTTACTTCTTTCCTTTTATTTGTTTCCTCTTCTCTCTTGCTTCCCTTTTCGGCAGCAATATGTACGCTCATGTAACGTTTCTTTAATATAAGTATATTTAACGTCTGGCTTACAGCAATAACAACGATCAGGGACGAGAAGCTCTTTACATTTCGGAGAATCGATCATATCGGTTCTTTAAGAGATATAAATAGCGGGTCTTCGCTAATATTTTATTAATGCGAGAGCCCACTAGCGTTGCTTGTGGTCGCAGCCTATTAACGACGCAGTCTTTCGACAACACATTTCCGCGACCATTTGTGAGGAAAACGGCTGTAAGAAGTATAATGCGCGACGGAGATTTCTTAAACGCCAAGGAAATAGCCACGTCTTGTGCTCGCGTGCATCGGCAATTTCGAATTACCGCTCCATTATTCGTTCCATTGATTGGATGACTTAATTGCCGCTTTCACCTGCGCTCAACGTCGATATAATTAGCGCGACCACTGGTCGCGGTAACAAAGCCGCACGCTGCCCGACGTTAATTGGCACCTCGCATTAATGCGTGAGATCGTATATTGTGCTAAAAGCTGCGCGAAATGCGACCCCAACAACATCAATTTAATGTCGATCCGCCATGGTCGAACTTGTAATTTAATGAGACTTCCGAAGCGAGAGTTTTCATTCAAAGCCGCGATAGTTCAAACAGTTGTCGGAAATGGGGCAATTTTGTCTCATCCAGGATAAAAATACTTACGGCCATGACATGCGACAGTTTCATGCAACACAGCGCTCGGACATCTGAGAGATACTACGACTCTCTCTCTCTCTCTCTCTCTCTCTCTCTCTCTCTCTCTCTCTCTCTCTCTCTCTCTCTCTCTCTCTCTCTCTCTCGATATAAACGCAAAATCAATCAAGCCTAAAATTAATGAGCGCCAGATGATAATCAGCGCTCGGAAAAAAAAAAAAAAAACACGTCAAAGAACGTTGTCCTCAGATTATCGCGAATGTCTCTCATCTTAATCCTCTCGCCGAACGAGAGGATATTATACGAAGAATATACCGAGTATTATACGAAGATTATATCCGAATTTCAACGACGTGTCCAAGTTTAACGATTAGCCGATTCGATTAGCAGCGCACAAATATACCGTCAGATTATTTTTTAATAAATAGTAATTTTGTGATTCCAAGAAGGAAGCTGAATAATCTTAACAATTGCTTCGCAATGGTAGAAGCGCAATTTCACCATCGCTAATCTTTTTCTCGCGATCCATCGCGAGTTATTATTTTGAGAACATTCAACTCGGTTCAGAGCGAGCGAGCGAGTGATTGATTGATTGTTTGCGTGACGAGCGATCAGATATCTCACACACGTGTATTTAATAAACGTAAATAAATTAATTAATATTGATTGTTTCGTCGGTCGCGATATACCAACGAGCTTGTGTTAGATTCACGTATATCGCCGAACCTATTCGCAGTGCTGATTCAAGGCCAACAGGTATCGTCGAAAGGATTCACCGCGCAGGCATTTACTCGCGGAAAGGAACTGCCACGACTTGTTCTTGTTCCTCATTGACCACAGATTTTTGCGCACTCGTACGTAAACGCTGACGACTGTCAGCGTCAAGAGTTACGGAATGATCATTGATTAACGACTAACGCGAGTGAAACCACCGAGCGTATCCGAAACGCGTTGACATTGCGTCGCTTGCGATTGATCTCGCAACGGTCAGGGATTTGGCGTAGCCAAAAAGTCACAATCCGGCTGCTCGACCGAGTCGGATGAATTTTTTGCCGCGTGAAAATAAGAGCCCGACGGAATAGGCGGGAGGCGACGCCATTCCAGTTTTGTAACTTCTGTCGCGACGTCATTGAATAAATCAACCGCTGCGAACGCGCTGCGAGAGACATGCGCCGTTTCGGTACAGTTACGTCAATATTTAACCATCAGTCAATCAATAAAAATTGATATCAGATATTTCAAGTTTCTCGGCTACTATTCACCTCAGCGCACTCGCCACCGCGTGTAATCGCTAAGAGGGAAGAAGAACAAACGTCTTTCCTCTCCGCGCGACTTTACACTGGTAGAAAAATATAGTTGAATTAACTATAATCTCTCACTATATTTTATTGTTCATTTTGGCGTCAACCATATTTTTATGTTAGTTCGTGGAAACCTGCAAAATATAGTAGAATAAACACAAATATATAGTCAATGATTGTCTGAAATAATTGCGTTTAGTTACCTTTACCACATATATATGCTAATTTCACAAATATAGTGAGATTTAATATTCACATAGTTACATCTGTCATCATTTAGCAAATATTCTGGTAATATTCACCGTATAAAAGAGTTACTTTTACCTGCCATTTTATACTTGCATCCATACAATAATTTTAGTTTAATTTACCATATAATTCGTAGTAAAAATATTATATGGTTGGTTATACCATGCCTGTGTCGTAATTATTACCGATATTATGGTAATATACCATATATAGTTACTATAATTATGATATTTCGGACTATAATTTAGTCACTATATCGTTATAGTTCCAAATATCATGTACTTTTCTCTCAGTGTACGCGCGAAAACCTCGCTGTTAAGAGAAACGAAATTCGCGTCTCTCTTCGGGAAACTGCCGCGCGCCGCGCACTCGCAGACTCCGCGAAAGTTTTCGACAATCGCCCAAAGCGCGAGCTTGCTCGCGAGGAGAAACTCAGACTTTTCCCCGTCTTCCAAAGGGAGACCGCGTGCGCGTCGGAATCGTTCCGCGAGGAAATGACTCTCTCGCGCGCGGCGAGTCATCGTCGTCATCGTCGTCGCCAAGGAGTCTCTGGCTGTGACCTACAGACCCCATCACCGCGACCTCGTTCGCGGATCGACAAACTGGCACGTTTGAGCAACCACATGGCGACTGCCGGCCGCGGTTTTTCTACCAATCTCGTCGCGGCCGTCTCTTCCACTTCCGTCAATTCCGGTTCTTAACATTGTCATTCATCCAAACAACGTACACGACAGGGATATGTGTGTGTCACGTGCGCGACACGAAATACGTCACCCCCACCGATGCGATACACGTTATCCTGCGCGCTCTTCATATCGCGAAAGAATGTTACACTTTCTCTGTTGTTCTTCTTTTGTTCGTGCGCTGAGTTGAAACCTCGCGACTTTGGCTCGGCAATATTTACGACTCGTCCTTGCAATGATATTCTCAGTCGATGCACTCGGCAGAAAGCGCCGAGCCGGCAGCATCGACCGTGCTTCAACAATGGATTTTTTTAGATCGAGAATCGTGCGCGGCGCGACTTTTGTCGCGTGACGTGTCTCGCGGCGAAAGCGCGCGCTCGTAATTATACCCCGCTCGCATCGGCTCCGCGTTTCGACCGCGAGAAAGTGTAGCAGCGTGACGACGACGACGACGACGACGACGACGACGACGACGAGCCGAGTCCGAAATCCTTCGTCGACTCGCTACGCACAGCGGAAAATTTCTTTACGGTTCATCGGAGATGGAGAAACCGCAATTAATCTCCAAATTACTGCTCTACATTTCGCGTGCTGAACACGGAAAGCGCTTTATATAAGCGCTTCATCGTACGTCATTCCGCGTAATCAAATCATATTTCAATCATTCGACGAACGACTTTGCCAAGACTGCAGTCGCGTCTTGCGCAATCCGGATCCGTCATCCTAGAATCACGACGGTGCTCCGCGGGTGTTAATCGAAACGCGCGCGCGCGCGCGCGCGCCTTTCGCAGACTTTCGTCAACGATCGTTATTCGATACGATAATAAAAGCGCTGCGAGTCCCGTTTCGAGGATTCCTAATCACAAGACGATCAATCTCCCGAACGCACATATGTCGAATCGAGTGCGAGTGCGAGCGTACGACGCCACGGCGTCACTATATTTGCCTTTTGTCTTGTGATAAGGAACTCATAAGCAAGCGCTGATAACGAAGCGGCAGGAGGCTTGTCTCACGTGCCGATCATTAGCTACTCACGCGAGTTATCGATGCGACCGATCGGCAAGGTTTATCAGTCTCACTTTTCTCAATGTAAATTGAGTGTCGTCTGTGACAAGACACTCAAAGGTATCTCGAGGTACTTCACGCACGTGAAGTGGGTCCTTTCCCTCTCAATTTTACGTATTGGCGGTATACCGGAAAGTGTCTCCCACCGTCTTTTTAATCCTTTTAATTAGCGCAATTATAATATTGCTGCATTAACAGGACGAAGTTTAATTATGATGCTAAATTAATTGGCAATATTTCTTTACAGTATATCAAGCTTACCCTTAGGAAATGGCAGCCTTCAATGCTCGGTCGGACCAGATCTCGGTTAATCTTTCAGACTAAAATCACCCTCACGAGATCTCGCGAATCGCATCTGGCAGATCCTTACATCAACAGCTCCTTGACTGTTCACACTGTGTTGATGTTTCTTACTGCATCCGTTGCCTTTGATCCACGATGAAACTCAAGTAACATACAACGACGTATGTGTCCTTCACTTGGTTCGATGAAAATTGATATATACCGTAAAGAAAGTTTTGCTAATTAATTTAGAATCATAATTAAATTTCGTCCTGTTAACGCAGCAATATTATAATTGCGCTAATTAAGCAGGGTCGAAAAGACGAAGAGACTTTCCGGCAGCCCTGATATATTTACGTTTGCTAGTCCCTGTGCCGGCCATATTCGCGTCGCAGCATCCTCGAGCCCGATGTGATTGCTTCGTCGTCGCGTTTTTCCGCGATTTTTCATTTTGCATTGTTACGTCGATCGCTACCTACCCACGTTAAACGCAGCGACGCGTGCAGGTGCTGAACCTTGCGTATCTCATCTATCTCATACGCGACGATTCGCTCGCTAACCACAGCGCTGCGCTTAATTGTCGCTACGTGCCGCGCGATCACTTCGCGAACACGTTCCGCACGAACAGGATGTTCCAGAGGAACGACGCGTTTTTTCTCTCTCTCTCTCTCTCTCTCGACAGCTTGTCTTGCTCATCGTATTGAAAATCACTCGATCGAATTTGTGACTCATCCGACTAGATCCCGATGAAGCATAATTAACGTTCCAGAGTAGAAAAGAAAAGGAACGTGAGAAATAAATTCAGGTGAGTACAGGCGTACTCGCGACGTGTAGAATGCGTCGGGAATACGACGACACGATTCGCAATTAACAAACGGACTTCGCAATTAAGCGACAGACGCCCGATACGCCGGGGAGAGAGGATCAAGTCACATACTGCATGCACATGCGACCGTCGCGGAAGTTTGCACAATACATCGCGCGTGCTCATTATATCTTTATCACTTTATGATCGCATTTACAGCGGCAGGTGTTGTGTGCGACGAGCGATTAACGGCGGAAAATGGTACGTGCGTTTTGTGTCGCATTGGAAATACGCTCGAGTGTTTCCGTCAACCCATCATCACACTTACAGTTGACCACCAGTTGAAAATATTCGCTCCTTTAATTAACCGCGGCTGCTGTTGCCTTTCTATTTTCTAGAACGAATTAGCGCGTCACGCTTGACGCGCCATATGCGCCGCTTCGCGTTTGATCATTTCCGACACATATGGACAATCAACAACAATTGAAGGCGATGATAAAAAACCGATCAGCGCGTTTTGAATACGCGCGGACCAAGTGCGATACTTTGTTTCGCGAGAAGAAAACACGAGAGAACGACATTCGATTGACAGCTGCGATTCTTCGCAGAGCAAGACGCGCTCGCTCTCTCTCTCTCTTTCTCTAATCTCTTACGCTACCATTATCGTCTGAAATCGCGCACTCGAGGAAGCACACGTGAGAACGGGGAAAGCTGGTGGAATCGGGAAAACGATTTCGACGAAGAAGGACACGCCCACGATGGATAACGGCTAACGTTGACGAGCAATCTATTACGCTAACTCGATGTTCCACGCTAAATATTTTACGAGTTGTAACGATGCTCGTTACCTCGATTGGCTCCGTGCTGTACTCGCGTTTCGCTTAGCGGACGATTGCACGAGGAGGATTGCGCGGAATTATTTGCATTCGCTATGTATGCGGAGAGATTACTACGATGCGCGGTTCCTCGCGAGAGAGAAAGAGAGAGAGAGAGATGATCGATACTACGGACGATCCCGCCGAGACCGTCGCCGCAGTCGTTTAGCGATAACAGGAACGCTCGGGATGATTCTCTTCCTCGCGCTGTGCATAATCGCGCTGCCATTCGGCGATCACGCGATCGCGTCGTCTCGCGTGGACGACGTGATCGTGAGATTTCTGGTAAACGCGACGTCCGTCTTGTTCCTACCAACGAGAGCGTCTCTGCACCTGTGCATCAGCGATGGCAAGATTTTCATATTTATGATTTATGGCGCGCGCCAAAGAGGGAATCTTTCTCCGCGATAATCGATGGAAAACGATGACCCGACTAGAAAAGATCACAAAGAGCTGCTCGCTCGCTCGCTCGCTCGCTCGCTACCAAGTCTATATTTTCAATTTTCGTCGGACTGATGCAACGTCAAGATACAAAGATCAATTGACGCGCATCGTTACTTCGGTCTATACTCTATGGCTCATATATTCTGAACTCTCTCTCTCTTACCATTAAAAGCGACTGTAAAAGGAGGCTTATGAGCCTCCTGACTCTGACTGTAAGCCACTTTTAGAGGCATTTTTAGGGCCGGTTGCTCCAACAACTTCTTGTTAAGTCAACCGACAGTTAAATCATACGTTTAACATTGTTTTTCCTTCAATTTAGACAAAGACAGACATATGACTTAACTGTCAGTTAACCTTACCAAGAAGTTGGAACAAGCGGCTCTTAGTGACCGAAAAGAAGGTTCAGAATATGGGTCTGTGGTGTTTACGGAATTTTCAAACTCGTAAGCGAGTTAATTAATGAATTAGAGAGAATTAATTAATGCTGATTCAATTTCCCCTCAGACGACACGGTCAAGTTGTCGAGAGTGCTATCGAGACATCGTCTGATGCACAGTATTCGCAATTTGTACGAAGAATTCGACCGGCGACTGTACGACAATTCGGAGCACCGAAACTTGTACGTGTTGGACTTGAACTGCGATTACGCTCGCGAGGTCTTGCGACAGGTAGATAGATATAATCCGCGCGACAGGTATAAAACAACGCCACATTGCTCATCTCCGATTAAACGTTAACGCACGACAGGCGCATTCGAGGAAAATGTTTATCGCCCCGGCCAAGTGGCTGCTGCTGCAAGATCGAAGGACCACGATTGATGGCGGCCACGACGACGGCAGTGAAGCCACTCCGACGTACGACGATTCGGTGTTGGATATCTTTGAGAATCTAGCGGTGTATCCCGACAGCGACGTGGTTCTCGCGCTGAGACTCGACGGCGACTTTCTCGAGCTCAAGTCCGTGTATCGGCCGAACCCGCAGCGAGGTGCGATATGGGAAAATCGCGGCAACTGGACGATCGAGAATGGACTACAAATGAGGACTCTCGACGTGGCTTCGGCGCGGAGACGGAATCTACATCGGACGGAGCTCAAGTCTTGTCTCGTGGTACTTGAAACCTCGCGCGCTCGCGTATTTTTACACGGCAAGCCGTGTAAAAATGCGCTCTCGTCTCGACGTCTCAAGAGACGAGAGTCATCGACTCGTCGTCAGTCGATGTTTTACACGCGCGTCAAGGTAAATACGAGTAAATACCATACTGCGAGACTGTTCGCAATTACAGATTACCGATCCCGACACGATGAATCATCTGACCGACTTCGAGAAGAAGACCGTGGATCCCGTGACGAAAGCTACCTACCCTTGGATACTGCACTTGGTAAACCGGATGAATGCCACGTAAGTTCATTAAGGGGGGTGGTTTCTCATTCGCGGGCTCAAAAAATGATCCATTTTTGTGAATTTATTTTTAGAAAACTATTATATATAGAAAGATACGGGTGTTTGCATATATTTGTACAACTATTGTACTGCAGAAATATAGTTTTTATTAAAAAAAAAAAAAATATATATATATATATACGTATTTATTATAGAAAATGACATCCGAAATCAGATCCACCAAAGAAAAAAAAAACACGCTCCTGCTACGGAAGTGATGCAGCTCTTAGGTATTATTTGAAATTGAAAGAACAACCAACTTTCATGATCTAGATGAGTGTCGCTAAGGAAAATAGACTAGAACGAAGTTAACTGAATGAAATTTATAAAAGTGGCGCGTCAGTCCCAAAAAGCAATTCGTTTTTTCTGTAATAAATTTCTGTATATTTTCACTTATAAACAATCGAATTTTTGTTATGAAAGCTCTATTCTAGTCTATTCCTAGCGCAAAAATATCAGGAATAAGTGAAACAAAAAGAAGTGGCTATCTTTATCAGTTTTTTAGTTATCAGTTCGATAAGGTCGAGAAACATAGTCTCGAGAAAAACGCGTTTGAAAGTTTAGATATACTTAAACAACGGCCGTGCGCGCTAACGTATTTCAGCTCGTAGCTCCGTTAAAGCCATGAATTTCAGAAAATCCTTTCACAGGGGTGATTCTACACACAATTGTAGGAATACAAATAAAAAATAAAAAACAAATCGATCTTTTTGAGCCCGCGAGTGAGAAAGCAAGCCCCCCCTTAACGATCCTGTTGATGTCCGATCTCCGACGTCTCTCTGCTCGGGGAACGGCGCGTGACTTATGAATGAAGACCGAAGAAACGCATGCCGCTCTTATCGATTGTCACACGAAGTGTCAAGTATAAACAGCACTCGTGATCGTGGCGTGAACTGATCGGTCGCGCGCGACCTGCTATCAAACTCGTCACAACGCGACGGAAAATATTACGGCGCAGTTACTCTCCTTCTCGTGTGATAATCATCGAGAGGGATTCGTGTCAGCGAGGATTCGGCAAATTTTGACTTGTCGGCTTGTCACGATCGACGTACCTGAAATTCTGCGTACTTTTGCCTCACACGTGACAGGGTGAGTTTCAATATCACGGACTCTTGGGGATATCGCGGAGAGAACGGCTCTTGGAACGGGATGATTGGGATGCTGGAGCGACGCGAGATCGACATCGGCGGCACCACCACGTTCTTTATTCCGCAACGCATCGGGGTTGTGCAATATGTTCAGTTGTACACGGGCACCAGGTAAAACGAGCGCGGAGCCAGTCCTTCGTTATGCAGCCAGCAAAAAAAAGAATATCCTATGTGCAAAGTGATTTTTTCCCCATAGTCTCATATCCTGAGCGTAAGCCTTTTACAGGAAAAGGATTCCTCTCTCGATGAAGCGATTCAAGCGAAGCATTCGTCTAAAATTTACTAGATGTTATTCCGTTTTCCTCTTATTCCAATTAATTTTCCTCTAATTCCTCGGACTTTGAGAATAATGTGTTTGTAATATTTTCCCCTTAATTTAAGAGGAATCCTCTCCTCTCGAGGCCATACATGAGAGTAAAATCCTCTTTTAAAATTTAGATGATTCCGCTTGTTCTGAAATACTGTGCTCTTTTTGGGATGTAGTTATTTTTCGTCTCTTTCCGGAGACGAAAGCGGAGAGACGTAACGGTTCCACGCTCCGCTGAAAGCCATCGACGCGGTCGGTTTATCTCGTTAGATCTCGTATATTACATTATTGTAGCATCTTTCGTGTTATGCGTGCTTAAAAATTAACGCAGGCGCGCCTATGCATAGGAAAGGTTTTTCGCAGATCGGCCTTCGTATTTCGACGACCGTTGCTGTCGACCGTAAAAAATATATTCGTCTTACCTTTCCAACGGAACGTCTGGCTGGCGATCGCCGTGTTCCTCTTATTGGTCTTCTGCTTGCTGTACTTATCGATGAAATGGGAGCACTCTCGAGGCGCTTCGCCCGAGTCGGCGAGCTACTGGAGCCAATTCAATTCCGGCAAGCCGGCGGTCGGTGATAATTTTCTCGTTCTCCTGGGCGCATTCGCCCAACAAGGTAATGATTCTCAAGGAGAACTCGCCAAGTGCGAGAATCGAGGAGAAAAACAAAAGTTTGCCGATTCCCGATTCATCCGAGTCGAAATAAAAAAAGAAAAAAAGAAAAAAAAAGATTCGCGGTCTCTCGCGAATAAAGTATTCTCGAGCGTCTCGACGATAAACTTGAAGCCCGTGTCCGTGCACGCAGGATACGCTTACGAGCCGTACAAAGTCTCCACTCGGATCGTCACTTTGATGCTGCTGGTGGCATCTCTGAGTCTTTACGCGGCCTACACGGCGAATATCGTGGGTCTGCTGCAGTCCACGACGGATTCCATACGCACGCTCTCGGATCTCCTGCGCAGTCCTTTGAAGCTGGGTGCACAGGATGTCGTGTACAGTCACCACTACTTTAAGGTTCGTCGATCGAGATTAATTAGCGCGTTACGCGCGCCTCGAGTCTCGCGTTTACGGCGAGTGATCGAACCCCCCGATCAGCGGGGCGGGGCGAAGGAATCGAATAAATCGGCGCGTACCTTCCTTACGTTGAAATCGCAGGCCTTTCGAGATCCCGTGAGGAAAGCGATCCTGGAGCAGAGGATCGAGCCGAAAGGACGCAAGCCCAACTGGATGACTATGGACGAGGGCGTGCGTCGCGTAAGAAACGAGCTATTCGCATTCCACGGCGAGATCGGTGCGGTGTACCAGCTCATGCAAGACACATACCTGGAGGAGGAGAAGTGCGGTCTCACTCAGATCGATTATTTGAACGTCCTCGATCCGCTGCTCGTCGTACAAATGCAATCGCCTTACTTGGAGATCATTAAGAACGGGTAAATGTGTCTCGGTAGAGTTTCTTCCGCGGAAAAATCGCGAGAAACCGCGCGCGGTCGCGGCGCACAATGTTGAAAGTAAATCTCGTCAAGTCCTCTTTCATTATTCCTCGTCGGGAGTATTTAAAGCGACGTTTGCACGCGAGGGCTGTGCTTCCAGAGCGTTGAAACTGCGGGAATACGGGCTGAAGTATCGCGAGGAGTATCGCTTGTACACGGAGAAACCGGCGTGCACGAGTGAGACCAGCTTCATCACCATCGGCCTCACGGAATGCTATTTCGCGCTGGTCGTAATGGGCTACGGGATGCTGCTTACCGCCGTCGTGTTTGCGCTCGAGCTGCTGTGGCACAAGAAGTGAGAATCCGAAAGAGAGAAAGACTCTCGCGGACCGTGCCGTATCCCGCACGCGAATTACGTTACGTTTTCTTTCTTCGCAGGAAAAACTCGCGCGAGAAGGACGTCGTAAGGACGACACAGGGCGCGGAAACGCCGGGCGCAGAAGCCATCGACTACGCTGAGTACCTCGACTAAGAGAGCGCCCGCGGAAACGTATATAATCCGCAGCGAGGAAGGAGAAAAAGAGCCAGCAGGAGCGGTCGACGGTTCTCCCGAGGTTGTCTGTTTGCGAAACGAAAGACGGGAACGAAGGAAACTTTATTACCCCGAGCCGGCGAGCGCGGTTACCGCATATTCGCGCGACAAGGACGAGACGATCCGCGTCGTCGCTTTAACGTACTTTAATAGTAGTGCAAAACAATCAGCACACTGACAAGTTATATTACACAGTTAGTAATCCCGCTCGTTCGAAGAACGAGCAAGTAGGCGATCAGACTCTATTGTCATTCTCGGCATTGATAACGAGACTGAATTGCGTTGAAATAAATGCGAGCAAGATGCACCACAAATAACGAAACATCTCCTCGAAACCTTCCTCGACGAATGTTGCGCCTTCCTTCAGCTCGAACGGGAAATCGCACAAACGCGTGGAGATCTTACGACGAGTAAACCTTCGGTGTATCCGTGAATGCGTCTCCGAGCATCGGAGCACGAGGCGTGCGTTAGACCCGCGCCGGCAAGAAATGCTCGTAATAGTTCTTTGTGAAGTCCGTCATGAGATCCACCGTGCACTCGGGCAGCTCCTCGACGCACGTCGCCGGGCTGCCGGCGAAACGAGTGAAAGACGGCACGATAGTCTCCGGTGGCACGACCGCGCCGTCCTCGATGTAGCAACAGTCTTTGAGGACAGACCGCCTGCCCTGCAGCGTGACAAGTGACGACTTCATGAGCACCCGCCTCTCTCTCTCTCTCTCTCTCTCTCTCGCGCTCTCTCGCGACGTAAACACATCATTGTCTACGTACAATTATGGCGTTCTTCCCTATGTAAACGTACGAGCCGACCAGCGCTGCGTTTACCACCGCCCGCTCCCCCACAAACACGTGATTGCCCATCGAGAGGGGAAAGAAAGCGACCCTGATGAACAATTTCATGTTGCGTTAGGTTGAGCGACTGTGTGTGTGTGTGAAGCAGCTCCGCTGCTTGTTACGCTGCGAGCAATTGCAACCTTGGTACGCGGCGATGTCGGATCAATAATAAGCGGAGATGCCGCGAGCGATAATGCACCAGCGCGACTCTCTCACTTACCCCCTGCTGAACTTTTTGAAGGGTGGTCGGATGACCGCATTTTTGCTGATGATACAATAACGACCGGTTCTCACGTTCGCCAGGTCGCCCCTGATTATTGCGTCGGACTGTACTATCACTTTTCCGTGTAATACGATGTTCTGCGAGCCGCACAGGACCGTCAGTCTGCTCACCTTGTTCCCCGATGCCTGAAATGTCAAGAGAAGTGAGGTTAGGTTCTGTTACTTACGGTACTGATTACGCGAAAGACACTTTGGATGGTGGGTTCGCGAGTACAAATTGCAGCGCCAATAAATCAAACTCATCGAGCGCGGCTTTTGTTGCCAGACGCCAAACGCCTGCACAATACTCCTTAGATCTCAGTTTGAATTTTCTCTGTCAATTTTCTCCGTCAGACCGATGTCTAAGTGTACGTCGTTACAACGCTGCGGTGCTAACAGAGCACCGCAATTTCAACCACCGTCATTACCGTCTCGACGTATTCCGCTTTGTTGTAATAAATATCCTGCGGCTCCATCTTCAGCAATATCTCCTTATCCGCGTATAACGTCGTTATCGTTGTGCGTTCAAATGATCGTAAACAAAGGTACACTCGAACTAAACACGTCACACTCGCAAGCGGCCATCTGCCGCACGTACTCTTCGATCAGCTGATGAGGCGAGCATGCGCCGTGCTGCCATCTACCGGCGTAATTGTGTACGCGACGCAGGAAGGATAATCACGCGCGCGGCACTTGGCCGAAGTGTTAGGAATTTTTCGAGCCTAAATAAATAAAGAAAAAAAGAGAAAAAACGTTTCCACATTCTTGCTAAACAACGGAAGGAAGGAAGGAAGGAGAAAAGTTAATAAACAATGATGTCTCTCTGTTATACGTAGGCAGTCTGAAAAGTTCTCCTCGACCTGACACATACATGCAGGCATTAGAAACTGTCAAATTATAATTGTATTGGAAAGTGATCCCTGATCCCTGATATAAACCCATGTAAAATTTTATTCGATCTGTCGAGCCATTCGAGTAGTAGCACCAGTTGAGAAAGCTTTGTGGTAAGCATGGGTGCCGCATTATTCGCTAACAATTGACCAAAAACGCATTCGAATGCGTATTTCTCAAGCGTGTTTGGCACATTTTTGTCGCTTTAAGCGAAATAAAATGGACTTGAAGCGTCGTTTCATAACTGCTGCTGATGAAACTTGAATCCCACCACCACTACACACCAGAGCGAAAAGTACCTTCCGGAATCGCACTTTAAATGATGGTACTGAATTATCGGAAAGACGTTGGAACAAATGTATTGAAGTTTCAGGAGATTATATTGAAAAATAAAACATATTTCATGACAAAAAAGATTCTCTTTCATCGTTAGGCCGAGAACTTTTCAGACCGCCCTCGTATATTATGGATCGCACGCGACGCGATATATGCAAGGATCAGTTTAATGAACTCGTTTCGTTGCATAATTTGCAGCCGCCATGTGTTGCGCGTCGTCGTCATTGCGGCGAAGAAACTTCGTCAGTGTCGCCAAACGCGCCGAGTCATCTCGGTAACCGCCTAGGTAACGCCGAGGGAAAATCTTTCGTTTATCTCCCGTTAACCTCGTTCGCGAATCATTCCGAGCACGTGCGAGACGCACACGAGACGAGGTAATTGCGCTGGAATGCGCGCTTTGTTCGGCAATTAGGATCGTAGACCGTGCAACAAGCTACCTCAAGAACGATCGATTAAGCCGTCCATCAATCTAAGATCTATTATCTGCATCATATTATATTAGCGCAGGTGATCAAGGATAAAGCGATATTTGCCGTCGTTACATTATGGAGACCCCCGCCCCCCGCCCCCCCTCGCTTTTCAAGCTCTACGCTTATGCGGCATCGTGATGACAAAGAATTACTTTCACGGTACATATCGCCGAGAAACGTCATTATGGCAAACTCGGTAAATCGCACATAATCGCTCCCCCCCCCCCGGAGGGCTGGCTTCATACGTGGACTTTATCTGCGAATGCGGACGACATGCAAATTCCACAGCTGCGGTTTCTCGCGCGCGGAACATAGAGGCCCGATTTCTCGTTCTAAATTCTCCCCCTGTTATTACCGTCCGAAACTACTGCATTCGGGGGCGAATTGCAGAGAGCTGACGTGGAATCCTCGAAAAGAAAAAGAAAGGAAAAAAAAAACTTGGACGGTGAATCGTTCGTTCGCAGAGACGATGCGAATTTGTCGCGCAAGGCGCGTGCGCGCGCACACTCAAGCCTCAAAGCGACGAACGTAGCGAACGTTGAATTTTTCACGCGCGATGATAACGCTCATTTGGCTCGATTGCATCCTTGCCTCTCTGCGAGCTCGCGAGCGCTTTTGTTCAAGCGCGGGGGAGGGGGGGGGGCGGCGGCGGGAACCTTGCGATATATGGCGCTGTGCGAACTCGAAGAGAGGCACGGTACGCGCGCGGATAATCGATACCACATCGACAATCTCAGTGTGGATCTTCTCGGCGCAGTCGGATGCTCGACGGATGCAAAAGCACTCGCGGAATGCTCCTCCTCCTCATCCTGTGCATCCTCGCGATGTCGCGTGGAAATGACTCGAGCGCGTCGTCGCGTCGCGTCGACAATGTTATACTCAAGTTTATCGTCAACGCGACGCCCGTCTTGTTCCCGCCTTCGAGGATATCTCTGCACCTCTGCATCGATTATGGCGAGACTTTCAACCTCGTATAATCCATGCCGACCGAGCGAGCTTACAAATTAGAGTAGAGGCTGCGTGATGAATTGCTGTATAAATTGTAAATCGACACACGGTGTCACAAATTATATCGCGAGGAAATATCGTTTGTGCTCAAGGAGACTGATGAGACCGAGGATCAATCGTAGAGTAAACTGCTAATGCCTACCTCAATTTGTGCCCTTGACTCGGTCCGCGATACGACGCATTTTATATTAATGCTTGACGAAAAGAACGGCGTAGAATAATGAGAAGAAACGCTCAACGCCGACCGCTGTTTCCTTTCCCCAGACGACGCGATTAAAATATCGAGGGAGATGTCGAACAATCGCCTGACTCACGGAATTCGCAACTCCCTCGGGAAACTCGACCGCAGGCTTCACGACAACCTGGAACATCGGAATCTCTACGCGCTGGACTTGCACTGCGATTACGCCGTCGAGATTTTGCGACAGGTAAAACCACGTCCCTTACGTTCTTCGTTTTCGACGACTCGGCGCTCGTTAATCAAGCCGAATCGCGCATCGCTGTAAAAATTGACACGCAAGGAGGATCCCGCGAGAAAGATTCCCGCCCCCCCCCCCCCACCCGCCCCAGCTTGACGCTAATCCGATCTAATGGCTAATTACGTTTGCCCGACATGACGTCGCGCACGCAGGCGCATTCGGAGAGGATGTTCGTCGCCCCGACGAAATGGCTGCTCCTACAAGATCGAAGGAGCGCGATCGACGACGCTAATCTAACTTCCGTGCGCGACGCTTTGTCAGCGGAGGAGATGCTCGAGGATCTGGCCATTTATCCCGACAGCGACGTGGTCCTCGCTGAGAGGCTCGGCGATAACTTTATCCAACTGACGTCCGTGTATAAGCCGAGCCCGCAGCGAGATATGATATGGGAAAATCGTGGGAACTGGACGCTCGAGAATGGACTACAAATGAGGACCTCCGACGTCGCCTCGGCACGAAGACGGAATCTCCGACGGAGCGAGCTCAAGTCTAGCATCGTGGTACTCAAAACGTGTATTCGTTCGCGATAAGACGGCGATAAGACGCTCCTTTCGCGCGGACGAGATGCATTCCGAGAGAGACGCATATCGGGCGCATGCGCGGCCGATATATATATATATATATATATATTACCATTCTTCCAGCATCATTATCTTATCGCAGCACTTAAAAGGTGAAGAGCGCAACGGCTGAGTCGAAAGCCGGATCATCGTTCCGGATGTTGAATGGACGATGCACGTGACCGCGCGCGAGCGAGACGGCGACGACAGTAACGGGGGGGGGGGGAATAAAGTAGCGTCCGCAGGTGCAGGTGCAGGATATTTTCGCAAGGTTCTTTCTGTAATTTGCAGATCACGAATCCCGACTCGTTGAATCACCTGACCGATCACGTAAACAAATTTATCGACCCCGTGACGAAGGCTAATTACATCTGGATACTTCACCTGACCGAGCGGATGAATGCGACGTAAGTATAGAATCGATCACAGATAGGGGATCGATCCTGTCAATCGCGCTGCGAATCTCTTAATCGCCAATTGCCCGAGCGAGTGCTCGGAGCGACGTAATAAAGCTGTAACTCGATCTCAAGGTTAATTAACGAGGTCATAATAGCGATCGGGACGATTATGGCGTACGGACGTCGAAAACCACGATCGTAAATCACGCTCGATCGCGGTGCGCAATTAGGATTATGGAGCCGAGTCTAATTAAATAGGCGTGCGCCGTGTTTATCGACGAAAATTACGCAAGCGGTTACTTACAGTGTCGAGCTCGATCGCGAGGAAACGCCACGGCGTAACTCCTCCGGACGATTTCCTCGATCGACACAATTATATTTGCGCAGGGAAAAATGTCGCTTCGGAACAAGAGACAGATCAATTCTCAGCTCGATCGTTAGATCGTCAATGTTTTTTAGAAACAAATTTGTGTCAGGAGGTCTCATATTCGAAATAAATTTGCGAACTATTCGAATTCGAAAATTTCGAATCGCGAACATTTGAATACGATAATCAGATACATTAACGTTTGCGCGTAACATCAGCTATCTGGGCCTGTATATTTGAACCCTTATAATTAACCCAACTTACAATTAATAACTTAATTATAAATTACTTTAAATATTTAAATATATATATTTTACTTTAAGATGATATCGCAACATCAATATCCCCTTTCATATTAAAATCTTCCATCATTATTCGCATTGTTCAATAGTCGTGTTAAATTTCTCGATGATTCGATTCGAATTCGAAAATTAATAAAATTTCACAGATTCGATTCGACATGAAAATTCTTGATTCGCACATCTCTAATTTGCAACGTACGGCGTAAAATAGACGCGCTGAAATTTGCTGTCTTCTCTCATTTTCGCACGAAAGGGTGAGCTTTAACATCACGAACACTTGGGGATATCAGAGCGAGAACGGATCTTGGAAAGGAATAGTGGGGATGCTGCAACGACGCGAGATCGACTTCGGCCCTAGCATGTTGGTTGTGGTAGATCGCATGGACGTGGTGCAATACATCCACTTGTTCACGCGCACTAGGTAAAATTGCGTCGTCCAGTTGCGTGGACGGATTACGCTTACGATAAACGCTTGCGACACGCACGCTGTGCGACATTCAGTTCAGAGGCGGTATGCTAGTCGCAAAAAGTGCAGTGTGGAGCATGTCAGATTTTTCCATCTTGCATTCGACGACAGATACTTCGCAGCGCTCTCTGTTGTCGTTGTAACGTTAAACGGTCTCCCATGCCGCCAGCAAGATTAGAGAGACATTTGTATCTTCTAAAATACTTAAGGGACCGATGCACGACAATCGCAGAAAGCCGGAAGATAAAGTATAATGGAAATGACGAAACTTACGCGCTATGTTATCTCCTTGTCCTTTTAAGCCTATTGTCTTATCCTAGCTATATCACCCTTGTCCCTACTTTTTAAGCGTCTCGAGTGTCTTATCTACCTTTCGTGTTCCTCGATCACGTATGTACACGCTATCGCGAAATCCGGGAAATTTTTCAAGCAGCGTGACGCAAAGTTCAACGTAGTGAGCAAAAAAATATACAAGTACTTCGCGTCAATGATCGTATATTTCCATTTCTACATATCGCAAATAAATATAGATATCATTTCTGTGAGTCGAAAGCTTTGTAATCCGAAGACCCTTGACCTACGCTTGTCCTGCACTTATTTATTCTGCAGATATCTTGAACATTAGTCCGACCGACACAAGTGCATCTGATCAACGCGCACGTTTGCGTCTCAACAAAAAGGCGCGATCGCAAAGGCGACATTCCTCAACGTTTATAGCTGCGATAATGGTCTTATTAAAATGCAACTAGCCAGCTAGAGATGTACTCGATAACTACGACCAGTGTTTTCACGTCATCGGACAAGCGAAGGTAGAAAAAGTATAAGGAAAATCAAGAAGAGAGACGAGCGCCAAACTCGAAGCGCAACTCGTCAGCGCTCACGTTGTCAATAATCAAATCAAAGATCTATGAAGCGCTAAGAGTCCCCTATTCTACGTCGATAAAGTAGAAACACCGCGCAGTGGAAAACGGCGCAACTACAAAATGTCACTTCAACTGTTTATGTGCGCGACAGGACTTGGAGAGTCAACGCAAGACGCAAAAACGTTCGTGATAAAAATGAATCAAAGGACAATTAATTGAATTTCTCTCAATTAATTAACAGTTAAGTTATTAATTAACAAAACGCACGCGAGAGTCTATCAATACGTAATTTCAAGTTTGTCATCATGAAGATTTTGCCTGACCTCTGGCATCGTCGACACACGCAGCGATGCTGATTAGCATACCGCCTTTACGTCAAAGCACAACTTGGCGATAAATATCGCACATTGTAATTATGCATTTTGCACAAAATAAAGTTGAGTGAAAGATGCAGTTGACTATTATTTAATAATGCCTTGTCGCATCTGTCGCACTGTTTCTTTATTTTTTTCTTTTTTTATCAATGTCGACTTATCGATCACTTTTTGACGCAATGTGTGAAATCTTGCGCAGCTGTTGCTTCGTATTCCGACGACCCTTGCTGTCGACCATGAAAAATATATTCATCTTGCCCTTTGAGCGAAACGTCTGGAAAGCGATCGCCGTGTTTCTACTCTTGGTCTTTTGCCTGCTCTACCTGTCTATGAGGTGGGAGTATTATAGAGATACTTCGAAGAAATCGGCGAGCTACCGAAGTCAACTCAATTATGGCGAGCCGACAATCAGCGATGATCTCCTTGTCCTTCTAGGCGCGTTCGCGCAGCAAGGTACGCGACAACTAAATCGCGTCATTGGCGCGCAACTTTATGAAAAAGGAAAACGATAAGAAAGAAAGAGAGTGAGAGAGAGAGAGAGAGAGAGAGAGAAATGACACTTTGTCGATGTGTAATTTTATTCGGAACTCAATTCGGAAAAATTGAAAATTTCGATTAGCTCGAGATTCTTATATATATATATATCCGCATAGCAAAATTTCTCGCAAATAAAGTATCTTCGGCCGAAGGACATCACTGTACATTTACTGTACATTTACAGGATGTACTGTACATTTACAGGATATTCGTACGAGCCGTATCGAATCGCGTCTCGGATCATCATTCTCATGCTGCTCTTCGCTTCTCTCAATCTTTATGCGGCTTACACGGCGAATATCGTAGCTCTCTTGCAATCCACCACGGATTCCATCAAGACTCCTGAGGACCTCCTGCATAGCCCGCTGCTTCTGGGCGTGGAGGACACCGTGTACTATCGACACTACTTTAAGGTCGGTAGGTCAGCGCGTCAGTCGCGAAGGCGCGTCGTTAAGGAGACTGGAAGGTCAGATTACTGAAAAATCATGCTTGTTTTTCATCATGACTTTGTGACGAACTGAATAAATGTGCGAGAATGAAAATTTCACATATATTTATATAACATACGAAGAGTAGAAAAGTTTTTTTTTAAACAAATACTCATATAAATGTACGTCCAGTTAAATTTTAAACGCGTTTTTCTTGAAAATTTATTGTTCAACTTTTTGCAGTGATTTCTCCGAAAGCCTAAGCTTCGTATCGATTTGAAATTTTAAAGCAATAATATTTGTTCATGTGGCTCTCAGGTGAACCATGGACAATTCCGTCGAAATATTTCATTTCGAGATATTAATTTTTTTATTGTGAAAGAGGTGAAAAATTTGAATCTTTTCCTAATAATAGCTGCCATTTTGTTAATTTTGTTCGATTTTTTTTCGTAATGGTTCACCGGATAATGATAAGCCTCCTCGAGATTTCTAGCTAAAATTCGCTCTGATCGGACCACCGAGAGCCGAGATATTACTGCAAAAACGATAACTCGAAAAAAAAACAAAAGGAGAGTATATTTCAGCTATATGTATCGTATACCTATACGAATAGTATTTGTTAATAAACAAAATTTTTCTACTCTTGTATATGTTGTATAACTAAATGTAAAATTTTTATTCTTGCACGTTTATTCAGTTCGTCAGAAAATATTCACAAAAAACAAGCACGATTTTCCAGTCCCCCCCTTCCCCTTAATTGCTTAATTTTCTTCGTTCGGTGCCGATGCCGAGATCGGGATAATCGTGCATAATCACTTTCCCGTCGGGACATAGACTTTACAGGATCCCGTGAGGAGGGCGATCATGCGGGAGAAAATCGAGCCGAACGGTCGCAAGGACGGCTGGATGAGTTTGAAAGAGGGGGTGCGTCGCGTGAGGAGCGAACCCTTCGCGTTCCACGGCGGGCGAGGTCCGATCTACCAATTGATAGAGGAAACGTTTCACGAGGAGGAGAAATGTGGCCTCTCCGACATGGATTACCTCAACTGGATATATCCGTTCTTCGTCACACAGAAACAATCGCCTTACTTGGAAATAATAAAAGTCGGGTGAGTTAATCTCGAGTCAACGTCTGTTCCGGACTTTTGTTGTGCGCGCGTCCCCCGACATCGTCGACGAGACTGTTGCGTGTCGTTCCCTCAGGGCTTTGAAGCTGCAAGAATACGGACTCAAGCAACGCGACGAGCACCGCTTGTACACGGACAAGCCCGTGTGCTCGAGTCAGACCGGCTTCATCACCATCGGTTTCACGGAATGCCACTTTGCGATAGTCACGATGGCCTACGGATTGCTCCTCAGCGTTATTGTGTTTGCGCTCGAGTTGTTGTGGCACGAGAAGTAATTCATTTCAGAGAGGGAGAATTATCCATGCGACTCGCGTCGCCCGCGCTCAATCACATTTCACATTTCCTCCTCCTGTTTGTTGCAGGCAAAGCAGGAATACAGCGAGCCCCGCTGTTGCGGCGGGGGAAGGACAGATTCGAGTCGAATGCGTTGACGAATAAGCTGCGAGTGTGCACTCTCGACCGAAGGGCTTCAACAAACGTCGGATTTACTGAATTCCCGATCGCCGCGCGGTCGAGCCGAGGAAAACGCGATCTCGAGTTTGCTGAAATCGTGTTTTCGCACAGCGAAAGTCGATAGTCACTGTTAGCTTAATGAATATTGATTTAGTGTGTGATTAGTAGCGTCGAGAGAAAGAGCATATGCATGGGGAATCGTCGAAAGTCGATCCTTCCTGAAATAAATAATCGTCTCTCACGACAAGCGACTGATAAATACGATCGATTGCACCTGTAACCTCGTTTCAAATAAAGATTCATTCATCGTACGATTCGATCGGATGTTTTTCATACTTCAAGTTCGTCACCCCTTCGATCCCTCCCGTGCGACTGCAATTTCTCTAATATCTCCGCTCGAGAAACAACTCTATCTTCAATTTGCCTTTGGAAACCACTATCAAGCAGCAATCTGTCATTCCGACCGCTGTCGTTCAGACAATCGAACAATGTACCGCCATCTGCTGAGGAAGTCGCAAACTTCTTGACTCTAGGCGGAATCAAATAATGGGCGGGCAAATGAGCGCGAATTTAACTTGCATGTCTGTTTGCTCAGCGATATTACGGTGAGAGGAAGCTTTAGGATTTTCCGCGGCGTCGAGAGCGCACGACAAAGATACAATAATATAATTAATAATTTCGCAAGATGGAGAGTACAATTTCGCGCTTCTCGACGACTTTGAGAGCAAAGACTTTGAGAGCAAAGACCCGGATATGCAGAAACAACGCCAGCGCGCGCGCGTCGTACGATTTCGTTATGCATCTTTAATTACGACGAGAGACTCAACTCCACCACCGCCTAATGGCGACGACGCGGTGTTGTGACGGCGCGGTGTCATAGCAACCTGTTCCCCGCTGCCGAGCGAGGCGTCGCGAGGACGCCGACGACGAGGAGCCCGGCGAACGTCGATGCGGGCCACGAATTCGCGAACGATTCGCGGGGATCGCGGGAAATGTCGCTGTTCAAGACGAAAGAGTGGTGGCGCACCAGGTGCGGAGTGAACGAGTCCTTCGACAGGCGCAGTCTGCTGATCGCGCCGTTATTCGGCGCCGACAGGAAGGACGTGATCGTGGTCAGCAGCCACAGCGGCTACCTCAGGATATACTGGCCGTCGTCGCAATGGCTGGACGAGAGCAAGGAACCGAGCGGCTTCAAGTCTTCGGATCTCATCATCGAGACGCGGATCGGCGAGTGCATCGTCGACGTGAAGGCAGGAAAGTTCGTCTCGTAAGTGAGAGACAGAGGCGCGATTCGGCGCGTTTCTCGCCGAGAAATTGGCGCCGACCTCGTCGTTCCTCGGGAGCGAAATGCTCTCGGACGAATCTCGCGTTAGGCGATTTTCCACGCAGAAGGGCTGCGCAAACGCAGCCGCGTATCGCAGCCGCGCTGCTGCGATACGACTAAATATAGCCCACGTCACGAATATACCCTTGTCTCTGTAATTAGATATCGCGCCCGACTGCAGCCCGACTGCAGTCTTGTTCGTTTTGGCGTTGTGCATTTTTGCCGATCGTATCGACACCGATCTGTTTCAGGAGCTCGCAGGACACCCGACTCGCGATACTGACACCCGCCAAGCTCGTCGTTTACAGTATCGTTTTGAGCCAAGGATCCGTCGACCACGGTTTGTATATCGTCAAGCCCGTCAGTCAAGCGTTGCGCGCAATTAATTGTAATAACATAATAATAACATAACTCGTGCATTTCATGAGCGCGGCGCTCCTCTGCTGCTCTTTTAATTGATAATAAAGCGGGATCGCAGCACAATGCGCCGCGCGTTGTCGGGATATGAATTTGAGCGTCATCGCGGTTAACATTAATCGCACGGCGAGGGAACCCCCGAGACAGAGACGCGCGGCTAACAAGATCTTGAGCGATCTTGAGAACCGCGCGCAAAGCCGCGGCAGGAATTTTCGCGGTGTCCGCCTCGTCGAGGCGGATAAGCCGCTAATTAGGATCTCAAGCCGCTAATTGGGATTTGAAGCCGGCCCTGACGAGCGAGGCGCGAATAGATATTGTGTATGCATTCCGTTGCACATTTTGCGTCTCTAAGCCCCTTCTCACTTGTCACTGTCGTCATTAAGTGCTACATTAACAATCGTTTATCATGTTTGCCGCTAGTGCCATTACTACGATGATCGTCGCTGCTACCGCTACGTCACGATTATAATTTGCCTTTCGCGCCGCGTCGACTTGCTAGAGTAGAATTGCAATTATCGATCATCAATTTAACACGACTCGTTTGAAAGAGCCACGGCCACGGTGTTGTTTCGCTCTTCTGGCCAAGCCCCGAAGTTGTACACGAAAAAGCCGTCACAAAATACCGTCGCCTCGACACTTTGCTCTGATTTGCGCGAATTTGCCTCGGCGAGGCAGATATTCACGCAGGGAGTTCCGCGCGCCTGTTTATCCCGCGATCGCGATATCGCGTATCAAAGTGCAGCGTAACACGTCGCGCTGTCTCGCTCGGTTTCGCGATCGCGGTCGATCGAAAACTCGAAACACCGACACGCCATCGCCGTGGTCTTCCCTCTTTCTCGACGCTCGCCATCGCGCCATCGTGGCGATTTACGTAACGCCTCGGCGGACTTTTTTTTTTTCTAATTTCCCGCGATCGCGCTCGCCACGACGAGGACGACGACGACGACGACGACGACGATGACGACGACGACGACGAGTTTTCCTCGCGCGCGCAGCGAGCGAAAGATCAAGGAGGAGTCGAAGGCGCTCTGCTAACCCTAGAGAACGCCATGTGAGACACGCGATTATCGATCACCGATACTGTAATGATTTACGCGGCTGTGTACGCATAAAATGCCGGGGGATTACGTAAGCCGCGCCAACCGCGCGGAAACAAATAGATCGACGCGCTGCGTCAAGCATTAGAAACTTATGTAAACGTCTCGTCTATATAACGGCCGTTGCATGAAAATATCTAATTGTACGTTACATTTGGCGTGTGTCTCTCTCGAACGTAAGCGAGAACACGATACTCGCTTTCGTATGTCGCCCGCGAGTGCGCCTTAGGAACACGCGGCTCGGAGGAGGCGCGCGTATAAAGATTTGCGGCCGCGCTCGGAAAGATTAAGTTTCCCCGGTGAGAGACGCGACGCGGACGCGGATCGAGGGGCCAATAATTTTCAATCGACGAGAAACGTCGTGGCAACAATTTCCGTCGCGGCCATCGATTAAAAGCACTTATCGAAGTACCGGCCCGCCCGGCGCCAAATGACCGGTTCGGCCGTTTTCCAACGTTACGATCACGATCCGGGGATAGAGAGGCGCCTCGAGCTAGTATCTCGTTAAATCTGCCCAACAACAACCAAGCGCGTTTCGCAACGATTCGCGTCCGCTTTGCGTTTATATTTGCGTTTCGAGTACTTTGCGATTCCCCTCCGCGGATAAAGACATGGAGAAATTGCGAGAAGCGAGAACGCGACTATCCGCGGCGATTTCTGTCTGCGTCTCGGTTCGTCTCCGGTTATCATTTCCTCTCCTTCTTTGTCGCTCGCTCGCTCTCGCTCGCTCTCTCTCTCTCTCTCTCTCTCCGTCTCTCCGTCTCGAAATTTCAAATAATGCATATATTTAAGATATTAATTTTATAATTTCATTAATTTATAAATATTGCATTTCATTAATATTATTAATCTTATAAACATTAATTAATTAAGTAATTTTTATAAAATTAATAATATTAATTTCATAAGAATAAAATCTCCTTCTCTCTGTTCGCACGATACGTAGGAACCGACGAGAGACGTGACTCCTCGGCGGACTTGGTCCTCATCTTTTTTCCTCACGCGGTCGTTATAACGCGCCGCGCGTTGTAGTGTACGTGCGGGCCGCAAAACACTGATCCGCTCTCGTCCGGACGCGGCTGCCTGCCGCGCCGCCGCGATGAATTGCGGCCTGACCTATATACGGACAGGAATCGCGATTGTTCGCCGGCTCGCCGCTTGTCTAGCGCCGGCCGAGCGTCGCACATCAATCTCGCATATTTATTCCTCCAATTAACCGCAACGTATACGCGTGTCTACGGAGGCTGCACAATCGGAGGCCTGATTTAACGTCGAGGTAATCGCCCGTCTCCGATAGAGACGCGCGGCGGATTCTCGACCGTCGCGATAACGGGCGTGCGCGTCGTTTCAGCAGTCGAGGAAATCCGAGAAACGCGCGAGAGAGACCGTCGTCGCGAGCGAGAAATACGTAGCGATCGGTCCGACGAGCAGAAATAATAATACAAGGCGGAGCATGAAAAATCGGAGAGTTATCGGTGGATGTTTTCTCGCGTTTTCCTCGCGAGCTTCGTCGGGGGAAATTACAAAGAAGTCGTGCTAATTGACCGACGTATCCCGCAAATACAAACGCCGCTAATGCTGATGTATCGCTGATGTAATTAGCTTCTGCGTCGCGAGTCGCCGAGACCCCTACCCGCTGCGCGCGATGCATCGCGCGTTTGCATAACAATTTGTCGACGATTTTTGACGGAAGTGGCGACAAGGAGCGCTATCGCGTCGTTTCGCGCGCTCAAATGGTCGACGCGAAATCCCGTTTCGATAAATGGAACGGCGTTTTATCGCCTAGGCCTGTCACAAGGCCGCGCGCGCTGCTCACCAGCCAAATATTCTCCGAAAAAGACAAGAGAGAAAACAAGAGCAGCATCTCGCTTGAATGCCCTCGTTGAAAGCCGAACTCGATTAAATTGCGGTGAAAGCGGTGAGACGCGCGCAAAAAACCCGGGCGACTTTGGGAAGCTACTTCCTAGCTCAGACTTTGCTCTCTCGGTCAAGGTTTCAAGGACTCGGACTCTTCTCGTTTCCAACGCAGATTTAAAAAGCATCGCTTTCGGACAAGATGAGAAAAGGGAAGAGCGACTAAAGAAGAGGGGGAGGGAGAGAGAGAGAGAGAGAGAGAGAGAGAGAACGCTTTCGCGTTTCGCGCGTCGCGCGAGAGAAGCGGATCAGGAGCGAGCGAGCTGAAATGTCGCGTACCTTTGCAGGGGACCGCTGCGACCTGGAAGTCGCGTACGAGCATCCGCTGCCGCGATTTCCGGCGACCTTGACGACGGGCCCGTTCGGCGGCGTGCGGGGTCGGGACTTTCTCTGCGTCCAATGCCTGGACGGCGCGCTCCTCTTCTACGAGCAGGAGACCCATGCCTTCGACCTGCTTCTCGGGAATCGGCTGCTGCCGGAGCCGATCGTCTACGTTTCGCGGAACGACGTCTTCGTGACGCCGAGCTCGTCGTGGGTCCTCGAGTGCTACAGGCAGGTTCCAACGAGTCTCGCTTCCGAGTAAGCCCTCAGCGTCAATGAACACCTGCCGGTGTAACAGATAACGGGTTGCCGCGATCGTATCGGGTTGCGGCCTCGTCTCTCAAGTTTGCGATTCGGCGGCGCAAACGGAGAGGAGAGGAGAGACGGTGTGTCCGCGACAACTGTCGTTGTCTTTGAATCTGTGACGGAGCGCGCTGTGAGGGCAGCGAGATACTTAATCGTTTAGATACTTGAAGGTCGGCATCGGGAACGGGGGCAGAAAGGAGGGGGGAGCGCTGGTTCTTACGAGTGTCGATTTCGCGGGTGAGAAAGGAGCGCACTGACGCGCTCGCGCGAATACCTTCGCCTCGTTGCTTCGCAGGTACAAAAGCATGGCGGAATTTGGCGGCAACAAGGATCGCGCGGAGGGTTCGAAGCATCTGGAGCCGGACTGGAGTTACAACATCGGGGAAGCCGTTCTCGACATCAACGCCGTTACCCTGAGCAGCTTCGAGGTCGGGATCCTCGTGCTCGGCGAGAAAAATCTCTACTGTCTCAAGGACAATTGCGTCTCGCTCAAGTACACGAAAAGGCTCGAGTACAAGGCGCTCTGCTTTCAAGCTTACGTGATAGGTACTATCAATAAGACGAAATTAAAATTTAAAAGAGAAAGAGGGAGGGAGGGAGGGAGGAAAAAACAAGTAAAATCGCTTCGATACACCGCTTATTGTTATCGTTGCTCGGCATTTCGCTGCTCCTCTTTCGATCTCCTCTTTCTCTCCGTCTCTCTTTCTATCTCGTGCGACAAGGAGAAATAAAAGAGAGAGAGAGAGAGAGAGAGAGAGAGACAAGCAAGCGAAGAATCTCGCTCGTAGACGATCGTCGGCGTGCGATGCGACACGCCTAATTACTTTTAACTGGTAGGAAATAAGTGTGCTAATTGAGCGGCGATGCTTATAGAACCGGATGGCAAGCTGATGGTGCTCGTAATCGCTGACACGAACACCCTGATGATTTACGAGGGTACGACTCTCAAGTGGTCGGCTCAGCTGCCTCTCGCTCCGGTCGCCGTAACTCGAGCGCATTTTCAGGTAACCGATGGCGTAATTCCGTAGCGCGTATTCACCGGGTCCGACGCGTTCCACAGTGTCACTCTGCGGAAAATCGCCGCAACGTGTAAATAAAAAGAAAAACAAAAGCGAGGGAGGCGAGGAGAAAAGCAGAGAGAGAGAGAGAGAGAGAGAAAGAGTGAGGAAAATAAGATTAGAACTTTCACGCGTCGTACACGCGCTTCTTTTTCAACGAGCTTCTCCCTCCAGCGTGAAAATCAAACGGATAAGACGTTAAGGGAACTGCAGGGTCAGATTATTGAAAAATCGTGCTTGTTTTTCATCATGATTTTGTGACGAACTGAATAAATGTGCAAGAATGAAAATTTTACATATATTTATATAACATATGAAGAGTAGACAAATTTTGTTTATTAACAGATATTCATATAAATATACGTCCACTTGAATTTCAAGTGCGTCTTTCTCGAAATTTTATTGTTCAATCTTTTGCAATGATTTCTCCGAAATTGAGCTACATACCGATTTGAAATTTTAAAACAATAATATTTGTTCATCTGGCTCTCCATGGATGAACCATGGACAATTGCGTCAAAATATTTCATTTCGAGATATACATTTTTTTATTGCGAAAGAAGTGAAGAATTTGAATTTTTTCCTAATAATAGCTGCCATTTTGTTAATTTTGTTCGATTTTTTTTGTAATGGTTTCGTAATGGTTCACCGGATAATGATAAGCCTCCTCAAGATTTCTAGCTCCGAAAATTCGCTCTGATCGGACCATCGAGAGCCGAGATATTACTGCAAAAACGACAACTTGAAAAAAAAAGGAGGATATATTTCAGCTATATATATATATATATATATATATCGTATATTTATATGAGTATTTGTTAATAAACAAAATTTTTCTACTCTTCATATGTTGTATAAATATACTTTTAAAATTTTCATTCTTGCACATTTAGTTTCAGTTCGTCACAAAATATTCACAAAAACAAGCACGAATTTTCAGCAATCTGACTGTCCAGTCAGCCTTAACGTGCGTATCGTTTTCCGTTATCGAGTTTTTTGCTACATCGGACATACTTCTTGGGAAATTCAGCCAAACGGCCAAGTCGACAGCTAGGCGTTCACTCTGATAACCCGAGCCAAACAGCGTTTCCCAATTCACCCTATCACCTCCCTGGCAAGGGCACTCAGGAGGCGACGATCTGGCGATAGTACGGAATGTATCTACCGAGGAAGCCATTAATTTGGAGCCGAGCGTCGGCGAGGAAAGACAGGCGGAAAAAGAGATCATCGGGTTGTCGGAACGGCAGCGGGGAGGAAAAATGAGAAAAATGTGGAAAAAACCTTTTCAGAAGAGGAAGAGAAGGAACGAAAGGCCGAACGCGGGAGGGGGAGGAAGGGAAAAAAACCTCGGCGAGGTCTATCTATATTTACGATAGTCTGCAATCAGAGCCGATGACATTTGACAAAGAAACAAGCGAGACCTCCGCCATATTATCGGTGTTCCTCTTCCGTGTCGGCTCTATCGGCACCAGCAGCCGTTGCTTCTCCGGCAACGTAGCGTCAGGCTCGGATCTATCGTGTTCCTGCGGAGAGCAGAGGTCCTAACGGCGATCCCGACGTAGCAAAACTCTCGTCAAAGGGCGAAACGCGCCCTGGTCTCGCGGAGCGCGTGATATCGATGTCACGTAATGATAATATCGCGCTTCACATCGCGACTAAAATGCACAGCTTGACCTTTCGTCGTAAAGGATATCGCGTCCTTAGTGTGGACACGACGCGAGATGATAATTGGACGGGTCGTTTAAGAGCGGGACGCCTGGTCGTCTCACCGATCGTTCGGGTACATTAAAAAGCGCGAGACAGAAATCGCAGAGAGAGAGAGAGAGAGAGAGAGAGAGAGGATAAAGGCGAAGACGAGGAGGAGGCGAACGCACGCGACGATGACGATCATTCCGAGGAGTGTTCAAGGCTCGCGAGCATCGGCATCGCCGATGAAAGGCGTACGCGATCCCGACCTACCGGGAAAGGAAAAAAACCGCAAGAGTGCAGGGAAGGACGAGGAGCCGACAATTATCACCCTGGTTTTATCTTATCGTCCTGCCGCAGCGCGCGACCACAGCAAGGTTGCCATTGTTGTCTCTCCGGAGGACACATAGAACGCGAGCGCGAGCAAACTGCCGGCTAATTAGCTTAATACCGAGAACTCCGCTCCGTTAATCAGCGAGCTATCGCTGCGGCACAGCGCGAAACTTGTTATTCCCCGCAATATAGACGCCTCATGTTGATACGCAGGGGAGGGGGAGGGCGAGTTTAGAGAAACCGTCTAAATCGGACGCCGGACGCTGAACTATAAAAATAGCGACTAGAGTGCGATTGCTCTTTATCTTATCCCGCGCGCGAGCGCAACGAGCGGGAGCGAGCGGGACATTCGTGTGAGAAACGGCGGGTTTTCCGAACGGGGGCGCGAATCGGAGACGGAAACGGCGAATTTCCAATCGTGCTGCGAAAAAAACGGCCGATGTCGTGTCGCTGACGATGTACGGTCGCGCGTTTGCTCTTCTTGCTCGTTTTTCGACTTGGAAGGTTGAGGCCGTTTTCCAACGAGAGCGTGTCGTTGATTCAGCCCTTGCGTTAATCTTGCACATCTGCGGCCTGATAACTGCGATATACGCGGGCTATTTTCTATTATCTGCTTTCACGCGGTTGTTTCAATCTACGCGCTCTTCGCTCGACCGAGCGCGCCTTCTCTGAGCTTCGACTTTTTCTTTTCCCGCCGAGAGAGACGCGCTAACGACTGTTTTATCTAGCGTTTATACATATGTTTATCGTATCCTCTTCCAGCACTCGAACGGCATGGTCGTCGTGCTGTCCGAGGAGGGCCAGCTGGAGGCTTGCTACTTGGGCTCCGAGCCGTCGTTATTTATCGCGCCTCCTCTTCATCGACGCGGTTACGATTACGTGGCCGCCGAAGATGAGCTCACGGAGCTCCGCAAGCTGGCGAGGAGGAACAAGGCTTCCGGTATGAACAAATAAACCGCGCGAATTAATCCGTAGCAGTCGTTACACACGCGCGTAATAATCTCCCTTTCGGGAAAACGCAACCGCACCGCGAAAGCGAGACCGCTTTTTTCGTTTGTTGCACTTTCGTTAATTGAATTGAATGAACACCGTGAGGTCTCTTTTGAGAGATCTCCAACGTGAATGATCTTGCCGTCGAAATCGCTGCTCAAGGTGATCAGCTGAGCGACATCAACCTGGACGCCGAACTGATCGTGACCGTGACCGTGTCGCCGGACGTGGAAGCCTACCCGCGCGCGAAGCACGACGACGCGAAGGACGAATCGCCGGAGGGTGGGTACCTCGTGTGCAGGATCGTCATCGAATTGTCGTCCTACACGACGCTGCGCGACGTTCAAGTGCACACCCGAGTGTCGAAGCCGTTCGTCGCCGAGAAGGACCGCCACGTCATCCCCAATCTTTGTAAGCAAAATTCGCGCGCGCGACATCAAACTCGATTATCGTGTTTCCCGCGTTTATCGAGAGCCCCGTGAGAGCGCTACCTCCTGCTCAGGATGAACTTCGCGTTAAAGACGAAAGATAGATAGAATCATGACGTGAAAATTGATACGTGTCCGCTCGCTGCGAAAGAGCATTCGCGAGCCGCGCGAGCGAGCGCGAGCGAGCGCGAGAGGCGCGAGAGATTCGAGTCGGACTCGCTTTGCCAATTAAGCGCGCGAATGCAAAGGTAACCGGCAAACGTTGCACACGACGATCCACGCGAGCGCGAGCCTGCCGGCGATGTCGTCGGACGTGAGAATCACGGCGAGCTACGAGACGGATCGTGGGAGCCTGCGCGTACTTCAGAAGACGGCCCAACTGCCCCTGAAGATGATGCTGAGGGCCTGCCCACCCGAGAACACGTCCACCTTCACGGCAACCATCAAGTGCAGCGAGCCCCTCGTCGCTTTCAGCCAGCTGTTTCCCGGTAAATCCATCGGCACCGTCGTTTATAATACCCCACCTCCCACACACCGCCCCCTCGCGACCAGGGCTGCAACCGCGATAAAGATATTCCGAGTCGAATCTTTCGCCGACGAGTTTTTCTCCGCGCCCAGGTCCGATATACGAGCGGCGGAGCTGCCGGAGGCAAGCAAGAACTTTCAGCTCGTTTGGCTTGAGGTATATGAAAATTAATGGACGGCGCATAGCGCGATCGTGCTGGTATCGCCTTGGAATTTCGCGCGAGTCGACAAAATATGGCGTGATAAAAAAAACTTGTCTCGCCCTTGCTGTCGCAAAGTACGATTCAGCGCGATCGCGCGATCCGCGAAAAGTGCGACCCGCGAGGCTTCTTGCGAAAGACGAAACGTCAGTCGGTTTGACCGAGCGACGCGCTTTAATTAGCGCGTAACCTGAGAAACAGGCGATTCGACCGGCTTCGAGTTGCCGAAGAAATCGCTCGCGAGATGCGATCCCGCCCTGCGAGCCCGCCGCGTCGTAAAGGATTCCCTAAAAACTCACGAGTCTTTTTTACTCCGCTTCGTATTCCGCCCGCTGTTCCCCGTATAGGAAATTACGGCCCAGGAAATTGTGGATAGAATTAGGATGTCTCGTTTGCGAACGGCGATATTAAGGAATCCAGTCTCTCTCTCTCTCTCTCTCTCTCTCTCTCTCTCTCTCCCCCTCTCTCCCTCTCTCGCTCTCGGGACTTAAACGCGGCCCTCTGCCGGCCCACCTAATACGATAATCAGACACCGGGGGCCCTGGGGGATTCACCCGGACCTCCCCAATCACGAGAGTCTTTTCCTTCCTTTTATCGGCCCCTCGACTTTAAGCCTCGCACACCTGGTGGATTCGTAATTTAAAGTCGGTAAAACTCTCGTTAAGTGAATCCCTCTTCCCTCCCCGCTGAACCCCGAGCCCGTCCGTGGATCCGAAAATATCAATCCCTTCCTCTAGCAGTTGCCTCTATTACAGCCTCGACAGTCTCCTCGACCTCGACCTCGACGGCATTGTTTCGTCGAAAAGATTCTGTCGAGACGGAGCGATAATTTTGGTATTAATCAACGTCCGATGTCGAGTAGTCGAGCTGGTGAAGTTTTCTTCACGAGAGAGTGTTCGTTGTTTCTTGACAGAGCTTACAGGGGACGTGCAACGGCAAACTTGGAACGCGCTCGGCCTGCAGCACGTGCAAACCGGCAGCGTGGTGACGATCGTTCCCGGCGCAACTAGCAATCGGTACCGAGTGCAGTCGAACGACGGGCTGTCGATGGCCTTGGTGGTTCAGCAGCTGCTGAATAGGCTCAAAGACAAGGCCAGTGGGAAGTTTACGAGCACTATCGCGCACAATCACGTACAGTTGGTCCAGTCGCAAATGGAGGCGCACTTTCGCAGCCGGCAGGAAGCCAACGAAATCGCGGTAATCGCGTGCAATCTCGTCCCTTTGTCTCGTCTCTCTCCCGTATTTAAATCTAAGTAGCGCAATCGAGCGACTCGATTAAAAACCCGACTAGAAATTTTGATCAGGTTCACCTAACATTGATAAGAACCTATATAATAGGGTGAATGAAAGGTAATCCTAAGTAAGTCAGTCGACTTACGACAATGTCCTAATGACAAATGAGTAAGGAAGACCTTTATAAGGTTATAATGATTGGGTCCACATTAGGAATGTACCAACCTATGATATAATATGGTTCAGTTCACTTGATCAGGTCCTTGTCGGGATCTTATTCATTGTACCTAGTATGATTTGCATTATCGAGTTTTAACAAAACAATTTTTGGGTGTCATTTCCAAATATAAAGATGTTTGCATTGAAAAAATATACTTGAGATCACTTGAATATATTTGTAAAATGCTGTAGAAACTAGCCTTCTTTTAGCAGTCAATAAGTAGTTGTAAAATTAACGTGACATGCAACTTTTCTCTTTAACACTACTTTATGTCTTGTCACCTTGTGATACTTCATGATCTTATAATATTCATTTTATGTTTCTTTTCCGAAACATTTTACAAGTATGCTCAAACGATCTAAAATATTATTTCATGCAAATATCTTTTTATTTGGAAATGAGATGAGAGAATTCTCAGCGTGTCATTTCTTATTTCTAATGTCATCATCCAATATAGCCGTGGTGAGTAATCAGGAGCCATAATTTGAAAACAGAAAAACGTAATAAGGATTCCATAAGGTAACTCAATAAGGACCTGACTATGAATCCAGGACTAAGGTCCTGATATCCACGCTGCGTTACATGACTTACTAGGACCCGATAGTATTACCTTACTGGAACCTGATGTCCAAATGAGGTTAACCTGATCAGGACCATGAGTTACAAATTTTTAATCGGGAATCTACACATCTGCGCTTCTTTTAGATTTGCGTCACAAGTGGAAAAAAAAAATTATCAAAGCGCCTGGAAATTTCTCTCTCTTTCTCTCTCTCTCTCTCTCTCTCTCTCTCTCTCTCTCTCTCAAGCAAACACTTTCGCCGTACCGGAATCGTGACGGATTTAAGATCAGCTATTTTAGCCGACGACGACGACGGCGGCGGCGGCGGCGGCGGCGGCGTTCGATTCGTCAGCACCGCCGTCGCCGTCGATTAATTACCCCCCCCGTAATTCCTCCCCGCTTTAACTTATTCGCTCCTTTTTGTTCGGAAGCGCAGAGCGAGATCGGGCTGCTGTCGACCCAGTTGAGAAACCTCGAGAGGAAGATGCTGCGCGCCGTGCGGGAGAGGAACTCCCGGTCTCTGGCCGCGACCGGCCTGCCGTTCCTCTTGGAGTCGACCTATCGCGCGATCTTCGCGCTTCTGGACGATCTCGCGATCGCACGAGCGGTAATTGACCGACATCCCGTCATCCGGCCAGTTTCACTTCACCGCGCGCGGCAAACTCGCTCCGCTCGCACCGAGATCGATCTTAGCCCTTAACCATCGTCCGCGACCGACGCACGCGATCCCGATTGCGTCTTATCGCGCGAAATCGTTGAGACACTCGAGGCAATAATTTCCATTTTTACAACGACGAATCTTCCTTGTGCGCGCTCGCGCACGAGGAAAAATAGCCCCCCCCCCCTCCTCTCCCGAGAGATCTATCCCGGTGCTCGCGATATTCGAAGCGAAAGCCCCGAAAGCGAGATCTCGAGCCCCGGAGTCATGAAGAGCCTCAATTTTGCTCATTTTCTGTGCGTTTACTCGGAGCGCAAGCTGGTAAATCGAATCCGTATCCGAGTTGTCGCAAGTTTGCGATTTCGCCGCGCGATCGCGGAACGCTCGGCTCCGCGTACGTCGCTGAAACACTGAACACAGTCGGATTTCTCCGTCTCCGTCCGGTAATGCTCTCGCAAAGTCGCGTACGGTAATTGCCCGTTACAGTTGCCCTCGCTTATTCGCCGACGCTGGCAGCGCGAGCGGCTGTAATCTCGGCGGTGCAACACGCGAGAGGTAGTCGCGCGCGATCGCGGCCGATACGGTACGGCACGCTTTATCGCGCGCCGATCTGGAAGCGGAGATGGCAATCGCGCGCGGCGGTTTCGCGAAACGTATCAACGCGCCCGTTGCGCATGTGATCGTTACCCGATCCCCTCGTCGTCGCGCTCGAGTGGCTTATTATTTGCGAGATTTATGGCACACACCGGGGAACGGAATTCGATGCGAGTGCCGATTCGCGATACACGAGCCGCGCCGCTAGGTAATGAGGGGAAAGACAACGGATCGTTTCGCCGTCCTCGCGCGGCCACTTGTATCGCGCAAGAAGAAACAAGGATTGCCAAAGGAGAAGCAATCGATCGTAATTTCGCAGAGTTGCAATCCCCCGAGTCTCTCTTCGCGATTAATTAGTGGCCTTTATCGGGGTATCTCCCTTGTTCTCCGTTCTCGAGTCGCGCGCGCGCGCGCGTGATTCAGCAGAAGCCGAAGACGAAAGTGCGAAAAATGAAACGCGACAACGATCGAAGTCGAGAGAGAGAGAGAGAGAGAGAGAGCAATGCACGCGCTGCGAAACGAACGAAGCGGCAAAGTGGCGAAGAAAACAGGTGCACGCAGGTGCGAGCGCGATCGGGAAACTACCAAATGCCGAAGTGAATGGAAGTGAGTCAGCGAGCGCGTTTTTTTCCAGCTTTCGTGCAGTTTCGCTGTCGGGTCGAGTCTCTCTCTCTCTCCCTCTCGCAGGCGGAGTGATTCACCGACGGCCGGCTATCGATGAAATCGGCATGTAATCGCGACAGCGCAAGGTCGCCGCCGTCGCCGCCGCGCCGCTGAGACAAGCCAAAGTAAAATACGCGGTAATAGAGCGCGTCTTGAGCGCGCTAGCGGAATCCGGGGACTCTGGTCCGTCGGGGAATATGATACCGGTTTCGATCCCCGACTCGAATCTCGGTGCTCGCGAGTATCGGTGCGCGCTGACGTAACGGCGGTGTGTGATAATTGGGCGGCTGTTGCAGGAACGCGACCGCACCGGTCACGGCTTGCAGTGCGCCGTGAGGTTACTGCTCCTGCTGCTGCAGCTCAATGTAAACGAGGATAAGTACGCGATGCTCGAAGCCGCGATCGGATTCGAGCCGCAGCTGCGCGACGAGCTCGTAAGTAACCACCCCGAAGACTGAAGAGGAGAGACGAAAGGCGATGCGACGACGCCGCCGCCGGTCGGTCGAACAAAAGGATTTCGAGCCGACGCACAGATGAGACATTCTTTGGTTGAAAATTCTCTGGAGAGTTGAATTTCCAACCGATCATCAATGGACATCAATGGATGGGCTTGATTCCGATATATAAATAAATTCCGAAGAGATCTGTCTTGCGGAAATTTAAGAAGAAATTTTTTTCTCAATTTTTTACTAGCCCCAAAAGAGGAAAAATTGTCGTTAAACGCGAGAGACTTGTGAAATGCTCATTATTCGACACGTATTTCTATCTAACAGCGTATTCAGCGGATTGAAATCTATGAAACCAATCAACAGACACCTCGAGATTGATCGATCTTGAAGCGGAAACCCATTAATCCAAAACTCATATGCCCAAAATACAAAAACATCAAATATAGACCCGTTCAGCATAAAATCGAGGGATTTTAATTCTTCATTCTTTCTTAATGTGGGCTGAGCTGATGAGCTTTGAAATTCCGAGTTTTCTAAGAGGTGATTATAAGTTCTGGGGTCTCGCGTTTAGTATCCATAGGCAAACCCTAAACCCATGAACCCTGAACCGATGATTTTTTTCAAAATTTCGCCTAGATTCAGGATCAACCTCATCCATTGGTGTCGACGATCGGTTGGAAATTCAGGTCTCTAGAAAATTTTCAACCGAAAAATGTCATCTGGCCCCACTGTGCGGCGGTCGGATAACGATCACCTCTTATCAGCGGCAATTTATTTACGCGGTCATTCCTTTTTCATCATTATTTCTTTATGTACTTTATTCATCAACACGTCGCCTTCTACCGATCTTGGCTCAATTTAGGACTGGGAGGAGATGGCCGACGCCGGCCTGTGCGCCTTGCTCCGCTCCACGTCGCGAAAGTCCAGTCACCTGGACGCGAAACCCGCGACGTTGAGCAAGATGACGTCTGTCAAGGAGTTCGCCAAGCTGAAGAAGCGCCTGGTGCACGCGGTCGAACGTCTCGACAGCTGTCGGGAAGCTGCCGATCTAGCCGAAAACGAACAGTCCGAAGCTGATGAACGCGCCACCTCTTGAACACACCTCCCCTCGCGCCGACAAACTTCTACTTGCCGCGAGCGTCCGCAAACTTGTGTGTCTCCGACTCGTCCAAAAGAACGAAATAAAGGGCAAAAATCGTACTTGACAACTTGAGACAACAGGGAAAGACGAGACTTTCCCGGAAACTTTCCTGAAATCTAGCGACCCGACTCGAATGACTCTATCTATCGTTCTTCTATCGGCGAGATGCTCGGGATTTATCTGCGCAGATCGATCGGCCGTACCTTGCCTCGGCTTATTCGCTGTTGCGTATATACCGATACGCCACGCACAGGTGCAACACACACGCAACGCGTGTGCTCGCGCGCGCGTTTACGTAAGTGCATCTATAGGCCGGCGCTGCGATAATTTTATTCCACAGCCTGCGGCATATCGAAATAGGCAAAGTCGACGACGGAACATGTAGTTTGAGTGATTCACGCTGGCGCCATGATTCCGCTTTTTCGAGGCTAATTAATGGGAAGAATGTACGGGAACGAGAGAGTGAGAGAGAGAGAGAGAGAGAGAGAGAGAGAGAGAGAGAGAGGTATGTGTTTAACTCTCGCGGGACCAATAACAGTACACGCTTTGTTCGATCATTTTCCAGCGAGAGCGCGCGGACGTAATATATGCAAAGTGCAGCGCGCAGAATGGAAAGGATCGTAGGCAACTTTTTCAGATCCCGCTGCCTGAGTACTCGCGCGCTGTTTACTCGCTCGACGACAAAGAGACACGTTGCCGAACGCGTGCAGGACGCGTTCGTTATGAGCTACGTCGCGTCGCGATATTCCCCGTTAACTCTCTATCGCGCTTTATCGAAGGATACGATCAAATCGCCGCGGGAGTGAAACGTCAACACCGCTCGCCGCGCGGAATATTTTTCTGGGGAGACGTGACGCGTCGCCGGTGAGTTTCTCCAGCGAGATTTCTATGCCGAATAAAACACGCCCGAGGCAACTGGTATTGTTAAAAGACATTTCTCTCTCTCTCTCCCTCTCTCTCCCTCTCTGTCGCTCTGTCACATCGACTCGATTTAGATAACAAGCGCACTGACAATTCTCTCGATCCCGAGCGTTTACCGGCCGTCATTTCCTCGTTTCGCGCGTTCCGCGCAGCAAACGCACGCTCCGCAACGTTCGCGAGAGGACCCGCGAGAGGAGATCCTTGGTTATCTGCGTGGCTTCCCACGAAAGACCGCGCGCGAGCGCGAAGAAACAAATAGTCGCGAGGCCCCGTAGTAACCATTGCCGAAGTGCTCGGCAAATATTTAGACGGCAGAGCACTTTTCCGTTGCGGCCACTCTGGCGATGTAACAGATTTGAAATATTTACGACCGCAGCTTTGCGGTTCGGATAAACGCCGCGGTAACATTGGCGGATAACCGCGAACGAGCGGCGCGTAAACAATGCAGCCGACAATGTTGCAACGACGATACGCGAGCCCTTACGAACTCTCGCGATGCTTGATCGTATTGACACAAGGTCGCGATGCGCGAGTGAATTGCATGCAAATGCAGCATCTAACTCACGGGCATAAGCGGGCGAAATGTGCGTTGTTAATCCTCTCTGCTTGATCGATCACATCGAAAAATCGTCGACGATAATGACCGATGATAATAATAGCTTGCGACGGTCGGCGGGAGAGCAATTACAAGTCGCTCGTTCGAGAAACTCGAGGATACACGCCGCGGCGTGTACATTTCAGATTTCCCAACTGCGAAGTTTCCAACTCGCGGCGCTGCGACTCTAACGATCCCCAGGCGCCAATACAGACATCACCAGACATTCCCGCCTACCTCGGAAAATTCGTAGGAAACAGCCGCGCGCTGCGCGTCTCGAGCGGTCTTTCGCTCGTAGCGCCAATTATCTCGCGCAGCAACGCGAGAAGATCGATGAAGAGAGATCGCCGTTCAATAGAATATTCCCTAACGTCGGGCGAATCGATCGATCAATCGATCGCCCGCGGCGGAACCCGGAGAGCCCGCGGAGGAAAAAATGGCGACAAATCGATAAACGCGCGCGGGATAAATCGGCGACACCTCCGGAGGTGTGGAAGGAAACTTACGAGTCGCTATTATATCGCTTTATCGCTTTTCGCCGGGGGAAATGAAGAAGAGGAGAGAGAGAGAGAGAGAGAGAGAGAGAGAGAGAGAGAGAGAGAGAGAGAGAGAGAGAGAAAAGGAAGGAAAGGAAAGAAGAAACACGGGGAGTGGTTCCCTCGTATATCTCACCACCGCTGCCGCCACCGCCACCATCGACCATCGGGAACAGGGAGGAGAGTTCATCGAGGAGGTCAGGGTCCGATGTACTACGTATTATTGCTGCGCCTCCAAGTTTTCCAGGCGGCGGCATAAACGATGAGCTGCGCGCGCGCGCGTGCGCGAGTTCCGTTCCTTATTATTTACGTCTCTAACGGTGGAATGGCGGAGTTGACGCTCGACTCTGGCGTGTACCTGCGGGCTCGAAAAGGCGGGAGATCGCGATCGGCGATTCCAGCGATTGAAAGAAGCTGGATGTTGGAGTCCGAGAAGAAAGAGGCCAGGAGGGAGGATGAATTTTTGAAATTCCCCAGACATTCCCCGTGTCGCCTCACGGCGGCTCAGCGGCGTCTCCGCGGCTTTAATGCGAGGAGACGATACGCTCGAACTATTTGAAAAATTCGCTGGGGAAACTGGACCACCTCGTACAGATCTGTTGTATCTGTTATCTGCTGATCTTGGGGACTTTATCGCGAAGGAGCTGTTAACGCGCAAACGGGTCGCTTTCAACGATATTCCTTTTTTCTCATCGCGCGTGTCGCGCGAGAGCATCTAATAAGCCGAAGGCGAGCTGCTCTACCTGTGTCGCTTCTATTATCAACCGTGAAAAAAGATAAGCAGGTAAAACTTGCCGCTGCAGCTTTGTGTAAACTCGATGGCGGATGGCTCCCGCTGAGCGCCGGTAGACGCGGAAGAGAAGCTCCCGCGGGCAAGTTAGAAAGGCCATCAAAGAGACGGATGAGGGTCCGAGGAAGCTACGAAGCACGGAGGAAAGGGTCGAGAACGCGAGGCCGGCGAGAGCGGCGAGAGCGGAGAAGTAGTTTTTCCGCGCGCTGCTTTGTCGCTCGACGCGACGTGACGCGGTCGATGCGAGATTTTTCCTCGATCCACTTCCGCGATCGCTACTGCAAAATTCATAACGAGCTCTCGAGCGAGCTCTAAGAAAGCTCAATTTCCGCCCATTCCGCCTAGTCACGACTGTCGCGCAATGTGAGATATCCCCGTGAAAAAAAAAAGAAAAAATGCCCAACGTTACGCAGCGTAACATCTTTGCGGGATCTAAGTGGTCGCAATTTCGGGACGCCTCGTAAATAAACAATTTTTGCCGGCGCGGCAAAAAGGAGACGGAATCTCGCGGCGGCGAGGGCCTCTGAACGCCATTAAATTCCGAACGAACGTGCGCGCGCGCGCGCGCGCGCGGCCCTTCGTCGTCTTCTTCGCCTCCGGTCGCCCCGCTGGATTACGTGGAAACTCGCCTGCGGGGCTTCGCGATCGACCTTCCCGGAAGAAAGTGGCGATATCTCCGACAGGACGGCTTCCTGCGCGATCCACCGCGCGCGCGCGCGCGCGCGCGCGCGGCCCCAAGGAGCCGCCGCGCGTGATTATGGATAGGATTCTTTTATGCCCCGGCATGCGTCCGCAATATGCGCGCCGTTCCGCCGGCCGATCCAGATGGGTGGCTTTTTAAATGCGCGCGCTCCGTGCAGCCATGTGCGTGTGCGTGTACGTATGCGTGCGGACGCGCGCGTGCGGATGCACGCAGAAAAACTGGTTCCGAATGAAGATGCATATTGTATGGGGGGAGGGGGGGGGGTGGCGCATAGGCGGAATCGAATACACGCGGCCGTTCGTGTACCGTCTATATCGGAAAGTTAATCGGTACCGGGCCAGCGAGAAAAAAGGCCGCTGATCCGAGGTACTTAGAGGCCCCAGGGTCGAATCGACTTACGGGCCCCGTGTATAATGTATACGCCTCGCTATCGAAACTTTGCGGGGATAAAGGATACCTCTCTCGCGTAGCGAGTTAATGATTTTCTTTTACCGTACACGCGCTTTTGCACGCGCGCGCGCGCGCGCGCGCGAAGACAATTTTATGGATCACCGAGCGAGATTGGTCTCCGCGGATCAAGGACCCTTTCCTCCTTCCTCTGCCTCTATCCTTGCTGGTACTCGTCTCGAGATTGTTGCGCGCGCTTCGAGTAATTTTGACTGCACCGTAACGACGAATTCGAGCTTCCTCCTCGAGAGTTCCTCGGAGGGGCGCGTCAATCTCTCAGACCGATCTTTCGGCGATCTTCAAAGGCGAGACCGGGATAAAGGAGTCTGAAAAAAGGACGTGTTGCGGACTCGCGGATCTAATCCATCATCGTTAAAAGAAAAACCGGCAGCGGCTCTGAGCGCTTTCCCAAACGCGGTCGGCTGACCATTTCTCGGAGAAATGTTGCTCGGACGTTGCTCGACGAGCGGGACGACACGCGACGGGCAAAGGTGAAACGAAATCTCGGACGATTTCGATCGCGCCCAAAGTGAGAAAGCAGTGTGTTGCAAATTGATGATCGGATCGCGCTCGATTAACCGGCTCCTAGCGAACGAATAACGCGCGCAGCATGCCAGTACGGCCCTGACGCCAAATTAATTAGGTGTGAAATTTCCGACGACAGGAATCTTTCGTCTCGCTTGAGATCGGTAGCGGGCAGGATGTGCCGTTACCGGAAACGGATTCAAGATTGCGCGGGAACGGCGGCGGCCGTACAACAAGCCGCAACGCTCTTCCTCCTTGCAATCGAGATCCTATCGTCCCGACAAATGGCCGTTACGCAAACGAGGGGGGTCGCGCGATAAAATAAATTTCTCGAGAAGAAAGCCAACGTTGCTCGGCGACGGACACCGCGGACCGCGGGAGAGACTTGAATTTCGGCCGCGCGAATATGTGTCGCGCGTCCCTCGCAATCGAATTTGGCATTGTTCAAGATGTCGCAAGAATCGAGAATTCGTCGAAAATCGCACTGAGAGAAAAGTATATGATATTTGGAACTATAATGATATAGTAGCTAAATTATGGTCCGAAA